GCTATTTTTATGAAAATGCGTGTACTGACCCAAGTCTAGCTCGATTAGACAAATTTGGGTAACGTTTGTTTATACCCAATTCACAACTTTATATAGCACACATGCCTAGTTACTATGGGTCGAATTCTAGACTACAAAAGCATAAATTAGAACAAAGGTAACTAAATCTTATTGTTATATAGTCTTATAACTCTTATTGTTAGTTAGTGTCAAAGTTCAATTATTCTATTTGCCGATTGTCAAAACCGTGTCACGTGCCGGTCCACAAAACCTCATGTTCGGCAACCGGTCGCGGCACTAACCCCTAACCACTAATCCCCTTATCCTAACCAGTAATCCCTAACTCCTAACCCTAACTTTTTTAACCGTTTTAAATTTTTTTAACTTTTTTAAAAATCTAACTTTTTAAACTTTTTTGCTTTTTAAAACTCTTTTAAAACTTTTTTAAATACTTTTTTTTGAAAATCTCTGTCTCTTACTGCAGTATTTCTGTTTTTGTAGCGGTTAACAAATTATAGGGAAATACGACGACATAAGTTAAATTTCAAAACTTTTATGTGTTCATATGCAGTGAATCAAACGAAAAATGCATCCTTTGTTACAATTATTTAAAATACTACAAAAATAAAAAAAACAAACTAAATTTTATCGCCATATTTCTCCATAATTCGGCAACCGCTACAATAATGCAAAAGTCAAAACAAAATAGTAAATGACAACAGACTACAAAAGCGGAAGTGGGAAGGTTGTAGTATTTGGACTGCAATTATGTACAAAAATATGTTGCATCCATGCTGCAAGAATTAAGGTTGTATTTTTAATGTTTTTATGTTGTGAATTAGAACCTGGATAATAAACCAGCTTATTTAACTTTTTAATTATTACTAGTGTCGCTGATCAGCGAACACGCGAATGTAAACCGGTCAGTATAATCTGCAGACTGCAGACCGCAGACTGCACACCAAGTACAAAATGCAGAATAGGTGAGTATGGTCCAATACCACGATACGACACGGATCGTGGATTTGGTAACTACATTGTGCAGATGGTGAATTGGTTCACTGATGGTGAATTGGTTTCACGATCCGTAAACCATATGGACGATCTGTGCAGATGGTGAATTGGTTGACGGATGGTGGAATTGGTTTCACGATCGGTGAATGGTGCACATGGTGCCAGAGGGTAGACCCCAAAACACTGACGATCCGTGCAGATGGTGCGCATGGTGAATTGGTTGACGGATGGTGGAAGTGGTTTCACGATCCGTGAATGGTGCACATGGTGCCACAGGGTAGACCCCAAAACACTGACGATCCGTGCAGATGGTGCGCATGGTGAATTGGTTGACGGATGGTGGAAGTGGTTTCACGATCCGTGAATGGTGCACATGGTGCCACAGGGTAGACCCCAAAACACTGACAATCCGTGCGGATGGTGCGCATGGTGAATTGGTTGACGGATGGTGGAAGAGGTTTCACGATCCGTGAATGGTGCACATGGTGCCAGAGCGTAGACCCCAAAACACTGACGATCCGTGCAGATGGTGCGCATGGTGAATTGGTTGACGGATGGTGGAAGAGGTTTCACGATCCGTGAATGGTGCACATGGTGCCAGAGGGTAGACCCCAAAACACTGACGATCCGTGCAGATGGTGTGCATGGTGAATTGGTTGACGGATGGTGAAAGTTGTTTCACCATCTGTGAATCACACACATGGTGCCACAGGGTGAAATATAGGTAAAATTGTAGACGGTTGGTAGTACTTTTTGTTGAAAATGAGTGGAGACAAAAATATTTACATACACATGTGTTTTGTTATCTGCGTTTTTATGGCGACATTAACTTTCGCGTATAATTTATACAGAGTATTTGTTGACCTAGTAGACACTTAACTGTGACGATGGTAATTACGATAACTACTATTGTGGTTTGTTGGCAGAGAATACAAATTTAAAATACATAATTTTAATTTAATCGTACCTGCTCTGGTAAACTTTATAAATATTGAGAGCATTCAACGAATTATCCAATTTGGAACGTTGAGAATAAATATTTGTTTGTATTTGTGCATGTTTATTTATATGTACAACTTTCGTTCTCACAAAGACACATTACCGGTAGAAGTTTTTTTTTCCTTGGTTTGTGGAGAATGGATATCAAACTGACAAATCAAACTCGGATCAAAATTATTTGGCAATCGTGCGATTAAACATTTGAAATATGGGTATCCTAAGAGCTCCGTCACACGTGTAGTTTGACATTAGCAGCCCTTCTGAAACACTTTAATGAAAGTATAGTTCACAAAATTCATATTTTCACTTACCTCTTAACATCTGTTTTAATGCAACTAGCTCTGTAGGCACGAGCAAAATCTAGTGTTGATGTAAATATCCATTTAGTTCATGTTTCCCCGGTGAAAATATAGTCTATTTCAAAGCTCATTTCGACGTACTTTAGCTTTTCAGAAACCGCTGGCCTTCCTCAGTGAGATTATCAACTGTTTCAGAAACATATTTGATCGTAAACAGCTAAAATATTCTCCGAAAGTCTATATTTTTGTTCTTCGACGCGAAAATGGCAACTCAAGAAGAAATGAGCCGCTATTTTTGGTCAGCGTCGACAGATTGCTTCAGAGGTTATAGATTCATGTCTCGCTATTTATAATGCTAACCCTAATCCCCACCCTAACCCTAACCCTAACCGCTAACCCTATTAGCGAGACATGAATCTATATCCGCTTCAGATCATGAGAAACCGCACGATGTGTGAAAGGATTAATTGGTAACCATAGTTTTGTGTCAAAGTTGGTGAACTGATGACATCTATTAATTATCGAACCTTGCTACTTATTTGTAATAGTATCTTTGAAACCAAAACTTCTTTTAATATTAACTGCTGAATTAGTTTCTTTAATATTTCGACTTCATATTACACATTGCAAATTGTGGTCGTCATATACAAACAAAAATTGCGCGCCAAATTCGAATATTGCACGCCAACACACTAGCATTCGAGGCGCATCAATGGACGATGTTTGCGCACAACGTAGATGATAAGAAAAATTGGTATGCATACAAATTGATACAATAAGTCGCTTCTTAGTAAAACATTCAAGTGTTTCCATCAGAGATTAAACGGGTCAAACTTGAAGACTTGCGAGACGACGAAGGTCGCCAAGTGTCGCATCGCCGTTTCTTTGCCGGGGTGACTGAATACGTTATAACTGGCACAACAGATGTTATGTTCTCGACGCTTGGGGCAAGTAAGGCATTCGAATTAGTATCAGAGCAAAGTCGGCTGCTGCTATTATTATAAGTAATATCATGAAATGAGGAGTATTCGTCATTAAACCACCCGCTCGACGAGGGTCATTTATTAAAATTCCCGAGGGAATTTTAATAAATGACTCGAGTCGAGCGGGTGGTTTAATGACTAATACTCCTCATTTCATGATATTACTTTGTAATATTATTTTTGCGCGAATTTCACCCAAATCAGTGTTCAGACACTGTCAATGATGTCGGCGGAGCGTTATAGTATGTCATAATTTTGTGATAATTTTTCTCAAACTTTCCAGGTGATGTGGTAATACTAATACGACCCGTAGTGACGTCAACTGAGGTCGTATTAGTTCTAATACGACCTGTACATTTGAGTAGGCGAGTGAATTGGTTACTAATACAGCACAATAGAACAAAAGAAATTCACGCAAACATGATATTACCATGGTTATAATTGAACAAACCTTATTTCTGCGCGAATTGTACTGATTATATATATATATATATATATATATATATATATATATATATATATATATATATATATATATATATATATATATATATATATAAACACACCGCAAACGGCAAACAGTGCACGAAATCTTTTTGTTTTAAAATCGGTAGGCAAACGCCAAAGCTAGCGCAAATTTGTGTTTATATTATAAAGACTAATTTAGTGGAGACTCTTGTGTCAGAAAGATGCAGTCATCTTTTGCTGACAGGTTTAGAAGATGTAGTCGAGGCCAAGTTGTCTAATTGTTTTAGAATAAACTTTAACATTAATTTACAACTAGGCTGCAAACACAATACAAAAATACACAAAAAAATTATAAAACCATTAAAGGTAAACAAATATTTTAGTTTTTGTTCGCGTAAAATGTTTTACAAAATTCAGTTTTAATTTTAAAATTTCCGATTGAGTGTATGTTATTTTGTCTATTTACTTACCCTTAAAAATTGCCATTCCATATTTTTGTTGCTTTTTTCGGGCTTTTTTAGTACAGAATTGTTCAACAAGTCGTCCAAAAAAATCATCAGACACTTCGGCAAAAGTGCAAAACGCGAATTTTCCGCCATTTTGAATTTTCTATTAGTAGGCTATCACTAATAGCCTACTAGTAGCGTAGCCAATCAGAAGGCACGAAATGTGATAACCTACTAGTAGGTTTATACTAATAGTCTTTACATTTAATAATAGTCCATAAAACCTACACCCGGACTAATTACACGAAACATACTCTCTCCAATAAAGGAGTAGAAATTTGGAATAATTTGAACGAAGATTTAAAGTCCATTAAATTTTACCAATCGTTCAAAAAACAAGCTAAAATTATTATCAAATACAAGAATAATAATACAGCATTATATACGTCTAAAACAATGCTTCCATCATCAATTCATCATGCACTCCTAACTTCGTATTTGTTGTATATCTATATTATTGTAAAACTATATCACAACTTTCTTTAAAATTTTATGTACTATATATTAAATGACATATAGCTATATCGTTTGAATTTAATATTTGCTGTAATAGGGGCCTTGCACTAAAAGCTTCTTAAAGTTTCTTAAAGGCTCCTAGCTCTAGTATTCAACTGACGTTATACTGTATATTTTATCTTAATTATGTAAATAGGGCGAATTTTTAAATAAATAAATAAATAAATAAAAATAAATCATATCATATCATAACAAAATGTATTTTAGATTTACAGCTTCCCTGATCCAAAGAAATATCCGGAGATGTACGGCAAATGGCTTGAAAATGTCAACAGAAATGCACAGGTTAAATTCATGCCGACAGGGGGAAGTCGTCTTTGTTCAGAACATTTTAGCTCTGCAGCTGAGATGAAGGAAGAGGGTGGACAAAGAGTGATACTGACGCCATTTGCTGTTCCAACAATATTTCCCATTTCTAAGGTTTGTGCCATCATTTTCTCAATTAATATAAATACTTAAACGTTTAACATGTTTGTGCCCACAACAATTTTTTGTTGGCACTTAAATAGGCGTATATTAAATTCCAATTTAATATCTGCACACTATTGTTTCTCACATGTTTCTCATATACATATATACCCCTGAGGAATTCCAAGGTCAACCAACTTTCACCTGATGAGGAATTCCATTTACTACACAATGCTCTCTACACCTGTGAAATTCCAGTCCAACTATGCGTGCTTTTTTTACAATTTACCATGTGGTAAATCTATCATAGTTCAGTTCTTACATAAATAGTTGACCTACACAGTGGCAGACAATAGCTGCAACAATAATTCCATGAGGGCAATTGGCAGATTATAAATTAAGCAAAGTATTGCAGGAAATTTACATGCCACAAAAGGGCTAGAGGTGTTAAATGTTTTTGGCAACTGAGTAATTATCACTCCACCCCTCTCTCTCCCCAATATTTTGCAAAGTATCCACCACTGGCCATTTTTATTCATTAAAAAATTTCATTCTTAAACTTAAAAAATTTCATTCTTAAACTTTCATTCTATAATTGCTTCATGGCAAGTCCTATATGGTGGTGAATAGCAGATACTAGGATAGGGGTAATCATCTACCCCCCTAATAATTTCTAAAAGCCCTTGAATGGTGGCTGAATAACTGTGTCAAAAACAATTTGTAACAATATGAATTTCACACGCATGCATGAATTAGTTTCATTGTAGGGAGGGGGTTGTAGTTGAAATTGCAGCAACCAATTTTTTTTAATTAATCATTATGCAATGACTAATTGACCATTTTCTGCACATCCATGGTTGATAGAATAACATTGTTTGATCCCATAACTTGCGAGAAATATCATGTGCATAATGATATATTGTGAGTTGAAATGTGCAAAATTTTTATATGTAAATAGTACATACTATAGTGGCAAGAGTTGCAAACGTAACATGAGGGATTCATAGAGATCCATTCTTGTCTAAGACGCTAGTTTCCTTAACGAGTAAAAGAGAGAAACAGACAGTAGAGAAAAATACTGAACTCAGGTATATTTGGATACTTGCATGCACAGATTAAATTGGTTAGATTTTGTAGGCAGTTAACTAACTAGACACAATGGCAGATATACCATACTATGCCGGTCCATACTGTACATACCTTGGTTAACCCATTAATGTGCAAAACTCTTCTCTCTGGCATTAGATAGCGTAAAATTAAACCCACATTTGCCCGCCCGTTTTCTAGTTCTTGCATAAAGCAAATACGTGTTAATTATTCTCTAACTGCCGTACACAGCTAAAAACGCACAGGTTGTTGCAAGTTGATATCGACAGGCGTGAACTATTTTGTGCGGTCAACTATGAACAAGTTGTCAACCATGTTGTTCCAAGTTGTTACAGTTGAACAATGTTGTAACAACATGTTGACAATACTGTTCATAGTGGGCCGCACAACATTGTTCACACCTGGATAGGGTTGGGCGATATTAAAAAAATCATCTCACGATTATTGTCGAGGAAATTATCACGATATTCGATAATATTGCGATAAATGCAATAAAACAATGACCACATTTTTCAATTTTAATTAATATCGAAGCATAGTAAGCTTATATATAATCTTATTAAAAACAAGTATTAAGTAATATGAAGGCTTTTTCAGGTCTGATATTTACTGGTCATTAAACCAGAACTGTCTGTGCATTTAACTGCCTTCTGTGTCTCCGCTGGCACAAATGCTGTGTGCCAAATGCTGTGGGCACACAGCGCAAGAAAAGCCTGCAATTTCATTGTTTAGCGGATTGATACATAAATATTAGCTTTTATATCGTATTAAATTTGTGTTTAATTCAGGAAATAATTTTAATTCTTTTAAAAACTATATTTATAAAAGCTATATACACGTGCGAAGCAATATCACGATAGTCATCGAGCATGACGATAATTTCGATATATCGTCGCTCAAGTTTCTACCTTCGATATGATAATCGCGATTGAAAATATCGCGATAAATCAAAATATCGAAATATCGCCGAACCCTAGTTGTTGATTTTCGGCTCAATTTTAACGCGTGTAGGTAATGAAGAATGGAGAGACCAGTACTAAGAAAGCGTCAATTCAGGATTTTGTAGCAGTAGAACAATTTAATGGTATGTCAGACAAAAAAAGTAGTCTAGTAGAAACAGTAGTAATAAATGAAGATAGTGTAAGTGATGAAGGATTGAGTTTGCAGGTGGTTAATGAAGAGATCATTGCTACAGATAGTGTGCGTATACAGGAGGTGATTGAAAAGGTACCTATCGAAGACAACGTAAATGTACCATTATATATAGGCAAGAGAAAATATTTGGATGAAACGGAGATTGAGGTAAGCATGTCTCAAAAAAGGGCGCGAACAACCAGTTCTTCTGAAAATAATGCAAATGATCACGTATATTGTGTAAAGTCTCCTCGTAGAGTGAGAAGGGAAGTTGATGATCTTACATGTAAAGTTAAAAATCTACAGAAGAAATTGAGACTAGCCCAGCAGAAAACAAGGAGGAGGAATAAGAAGGTTAGCACGTTGACTGCAGTGGTAAGTGAATTAAGAGAAAAAAATCTGATCAATAGTGATTGTGTGACTATTCTAGAATCAACTTTTTCTGGAGTTCCAAAGGAACTTATGAAGAGGTTGGTGACACAAAAGAAAAAGAAAAATCTTGGGGCGTATCCACCCGAGCTAAGGTCATTTGCCCTGACCTTGAAATTTTATTCAACTAAAGCGTATAACTATGTGCGAAAAAGTTTTGATTTAGGGCTGCCACATGTAAACGTGATTCGGTCATGGTACAGTTCCATGAACGACGAGCCAGGTTTTACAAAGGATGCACTGACAGCATTGAAAGCCAAAGTTCTAGCTGCAAAAAGAGATAACCAAGAAGTTGTTTGTACACTAATGCTCGATGAGATGGCCATACGCAAACATGTTGAATGGGATGGTAAGCAGTTCCGTGGTTATGTTGACCTTGGAACAGGCATCAATGACGACTCGCTGCCTGAAGCAACAGAAGCTCTTGTTTTTATGGCAGTCTCGGTGAACTCCGGTTGGAAAGTACCATGTGGATATTTTCTAGTGAATGGTATTACTGGAGAACAGAAAGCCAACTTGACCAAAGAATGCATAACCAAGTTGCACGAAGTAGGGGTGAAGGTGGTGTCTTTTACGTGTGATGGCCCCACTTCTCACCAGACGAGGTTGAAATTGCTCGGCGCTCAACTGTTACCTGATAACTTGCAAGCGTACTTCCAACATCCATGTGACCCGAAAGCCAAGATCTACATCTTCCTAGATGCTTGTCACATGATAAAGTTGGTAAGAAACACCATGTCGGATTGGAAGGCCCTAAAGGATGGCAACGTCATCAAGTGGCAATTCGTGGAAGAATTGCATAAATTACAAGAGTCATGGGGCTTACATCTTGCCAATAAGCTCCGATCCGCTCACATAAAATGGAAGCCACAGAAAATGAAGGTAAATCTAGCAGCACAGGCACTCTGTTCGAGTGTTGCAGATGCCTTGGAGTATTGTGAAGGTAAGCTGAAATTGCCACAATTTCAAGGGTGTGGTCCAACAGTAAAATGTATTCGTGTTTTTGATCATCTTTTTGATGTTCTGAATTCCAGGAATCCGTTGGTTCTGCATGTCTCTGAGAACTATAAATTTCTATTTCAAAAGCAATCTTGAATTGCTTAACTTGTTCAGACGATTACGTGATGACTATATTTAAAACATAAGAAGCAGTGTTTTATCAGATATAAAGATACGAGACGAAGCTAGCCGAGTATCTTTATTGGTCTGATAAAACACGCACTGCTTTAATAACAATCGATCTGTATAGTAAGTTCATTGGCGAGGTAATTTTCAAAAAAATACATTGTGTAAGTCGAGAAAATCAAAGTTGAAGTTTATGGAGGAAAGGAAACCTCTATCACATATAAAATACGACATGCTTATATATGATTTTTCTTTGTTTTCTCCTCGTGAATTGTTGAGTGATTTGAAGACTGTTTAACTAATCTTTCATTTTAATTATCCCAGTTATAGACATTGTATTTTTGAGAGGAAGGGCACCTGGCACAATTTTATTGTGTTTCGAGGAAGTTTGCATTGTTGATAATGCATTGTCAATGGTACCTGCACATCTTAGATGTGTTCGAGGGTTGACAAACGAGTAAGGAAATGAATGGTGTTTGTAAAGTGTTAATGATACCTGAACATTTTAGATGTGTGTGAGGTATATAACATAAGAAATGAATGTCTTACCTTGAATTTTCTAGTACAATAAATATAATTGAAGATGGTACGAGGTACGTAATATACAGTACATATACGTATTACCTGTATTATTTAGCAGTTTACTATGTCTCATGAATTATTACCATATTTACCATAAATATTTTTGTTTATTTCTAGGTCCATCGATCCATATACATCTCATTCAATAACTGCGTTGCTGTATATTTTAATTGTGCTTTATTATTATATATATTTAGTTATAACATTTTGAATTGTAAACCGATTAACATGCATCTATGTGACATATTTATGTCTTATTATAACATTAAGTTAGAATACCACTTACAAACTAACATTTTAAACAACCAGGCAGGCATTTTATCTCTCTTGACACTTCAATGGGTTGACATTGAACACATACTGCATTTATTTAACGCCAGCTGGAAGAACAAGGAACATAAGGGAATGTTATTATCCGATTGAGATTTCTAAATGATAAAGATGAACATGAAGTTACTGCATGGTATACTCTATAAGTATAATGCCAAGTAAGTGTTTATCAGATTCACAATCTTAGTTGAGTATATTTAGGGGATCATATTAATAAGCCTGAATGAATGGACAGTGTCACTTTGTCCTTACCTATGGACACTTGAATGATTGGATATTACTTAATTCATTAATTGGTGGCATTAGCCTGAATGAATAGACAGTGTCTATTATGCATTAATGGGTTAACATGTATCATTAAAAATGATAACTCCAATTTTGCCTTTCCCACCTTCAGTGTTCAAGACATTGAGAAAGGTGAAGTTGGATTTATCATTTTTATGTAATAATAAACCTCTCAATCCTTTAAATGTCAATAGATAATTTGGTATAGGTAAATTAATATTGCTTTATATACATATATATATAGATGTGATGATTTCTAAACAAAGATAAAACGGACTAAAATACATATTCCTCATCTTGATGGCCGGATGACAAAATTGAAAGTTCAAGAGAAAATATATTTATACTATGCTCTTATTGACTATTGGCATATTCAACATTTTCATCAGTTTTTGATTACAAAGGAAATTTCAAGAGAACATATCCTGCTCATCAAATTATGCTACCGCGGTCACCATGCATATCCAACGCATATCGAATAATGGCTATTATAATATTTAGTCATCAAAAATGCCTATAAACTTTACACGTACGTTATGGACAACTGAGAAGAATTAGTTTCCGTACCATCTTATATATCATCAACATTTTCATCAATTAATTTTCACAGAATGGATTAAATAATTCAAGAGAAAATATATTTATGGTATACATATTCCTCGATCATCACATTATATGCTACCATACCATATATAGTCTACTGCTATTGGATTAATCATCATCAAAATGCATTTAACCTTACATTATGGATAACAGAATAATTGTCATTAACATGTCCAGTCTTATAATGGATCACATTGAAGAAATTATGCTGTCATATCATCTAGACATATATTGACACTTCAAATGCTTGATGTGAATTGCTACGATTTGTGTTCATTTGGCCCAAAATGTCAAAGAAAGTGTAGGCTACATGCTTTGGATGTGAATTGGATTAGTGAATTTATATAAAACATTATTTAGTGTTGTTGATTAATATATAATAAGTGAATAAAATAATTAATTGTTAGAGTACTACATTGTATACCATGCATCCTCTACTCACCCCCTCCCCTCACACACGCAGCAAAAAATTCCCCTTGAATATTTAAAGTTTGTTCATATTGCATGATTAGCCCTCTCCACTGGTTGTTTTAACTTAATGGGTTAGCATGCATTAACCCTCGGTTAACATTTAACTCGCTGTTCTGGTTTTTGTATTTCCGCACGTTAATTTGATATGCTTGGATAGTCATGAAATAAATATTTCTAGGATGGGTTTATAGAGGACTTATGGTCAATAATATTTACTCCAATTGGCATTATGTTAAGTGTAGTTGGAATATTAGACTTATTAATGCTGTAAGATATATATTTGATTTTAACCCTTAATGTTATTTTACTTTGTCTAATGCCAGGTGACTTATTAATGCTGTAAGATATATATTTGATTTTAACCCTTAATGTTATTTTACTTTGTCTAATGCCAGGTGAAGTAATGTTTTACTCGATCTGTCTATTAAATGCTGGGTGATTTCACTTTTTTCACTCAATTGGTGAATCAGACTATTTGCCCTACGCTTCGTCCGGAGTTACGGAATACGGACATTTAAAATTGTACTTTAAGCTAGTTAACCTAATCAAGTTGCATTGCACCCTACCTATACCATTGTAACCAAATTCATTATTGCAAAGTTTTCAATCTATATAAAAAGCAGCGTGGGTGCTAGTCGGAAGAATGGGTCAGGGTGGGATGTTGGTGTAGCGTTGCGAATGCTTTTGGCACAGTGTTTACACCAAATGCACCCTGGTCGAAAGCTTTGCAATAATAATTTATACAGGTTTGTATTTCCACCACAAAACATATAATGTATTATACAGTACATAATAGCGGGCTACATACCAAGTGCCAGAGGAGGGCAATTTTAGGATTCTAAAATCTGATCTTATAGGTAAATAGAATATATATTACTTGACATGTATAATGCAGATTAATGCTTTGAAGTATTCAGATTTATTTGGTTCACTTAGATAAATCACCATTCAATTAGTGTTCATACTTCATGTTAATGGTAATATTGTTTCCATTCTATCCACCAATCAAATTGGGCCCTTCATTTCGCGCCCTTTTCAAGTTTAACAAATTGTCGTATGCATAATTTTAGGAGGACATTTAAAATTGTAAGGTAACTTTTCATTTTAATACTCGTGTTTAATTAAGTAAAATAACTCGTTATAGTAAAAAGTATACAGAAGATATATAAAGAATATATATATATTTACATATTAACAGATGAGTCAAAACCAGGAAAATGCCCGTGAAGGGGGAGAGTTACCGGATACAAATGGTATTTATATGTCTTATATGTCCGTATTTTTTTTCAACATCATCTGTTTACAAATCTTTCTGAAAACTGAATATGTTGGTCTTGTTGAAATATAAACTAAGAATTTTCATTTTTTGGGTTATGCAAGACCATGCAAGTTCACATTCTCAGTACGACTGCAATTTGAATTTTATTTCAAAAGCGGTATAAAAAGTGCATTGTTAGACAATATTAAGTTAAGTCAACAATCTTTGTTTTTGTTTGTCTTTGCAGATTCAGAGCAAAGTGAAGGACTTCCCGAAATGGAAACTGGTAAGTTTTTTTAGTAAGAATTCCAATTTTGTTTGAATTGAATAGTCCATAATATACAATACCATATTTTGTAGATGTGTCAAATGCTGAAACAGCGCCTGGTTCAGACCACAGCCAAAGCCTTAACGGTATGATTATGCATTATGTATTTGGTATTTATGGCTATAAATATAGACTATATATAAACAATATAATAAACATGAAAATATACTAGTTAAGTTTCCCTACCCTTTGGGTATAGTATTTGCTATGTGTTTAATGAAGTCTTAGATAAACATTTAGTAAACTGTACATGCATATTTTTAATAGGTCAGTTGGCAGAGAAAGACAACCAAATTAGGCAAAAGGTTGAATTTAAAGGTAATGCATGCCTGTTAATACTTACAATTGTTTGTTATTTAAAAGCTGTTAAACCAGTGGCGGTGCTAGGCCTCAGAATTTGGAGGGGGGGGGGGCATTTGATGGGGGCAAACTCATATTGGGGGGGGGGGCAAGATAGAATTTTTAAAAAGGTACTGCTATTTGCCCATGCCATTGTCACAGGACTTAATTTTCTCCCCCTCCCCCCAGGAGATTCGCACCATTCTCAAAAGGGGCCGATATTCCTAGGCATACCGCACCCGGGGGACGAATATCCTAGGAATATCTCTCCCCCCCCAGAGGGGCGAATACCCCAGGAATCCCCACTTTAGGATATTCCCCCCCCCCAAAATATGCGATGTGGTTTATTCGAATAATTTTGTGATACTTTCATTTTATTAGTGCCTTACAGTAAGGCCCATACAGACCGGACGATATTTGGCAACGCGACGCGAATTTTCAGTTTTCAATGACATTTAACTTTAATATTTTTCATTGTTTTTAAAATAATCGGGACCACTTTTGACTTAGCAATTTTAGCTATTTGGTGTGCATACCTTGTAAAATTTTATCTGTTGACGGTTTTATTTGTCAGTTGAAAACTGAAAATTTGTGTTGCGTTGGGGACAAAATAGGGGGGGGCTAAAAATAATTTTGGGGGCATTCCCCCCCCCATCTGGCGCCGCCACTGTGTTAAACTAAACATAACCTATTAAAGTGTCATCTACTTCTTTATTTAGGAAAATGTCATAATTGTGGCCAGAAAGGCCACAAATCAACAAGTTGTAAAAAACGTATGTGTTTTCCTTTTATCTTTTCAAAAAAATTTAATATAAAGACAAATCCTACCTGACATACTACCTATTGGGCTATAACTATAAGTCCAGGGGAACCCTACAGTTTCTATATTACCACATGCTTGTTAATTGGATCGAGTTACATGAATAGTAAATTCATTCCTTTTTCTCTGTTTACAGCTTACAATCGAGATCAAACAAGTAAGTTTAGAAAATGTTTTTTGTATTGTAATTATTGACTACTATTGAGTCTACTACTAGTTATTAAATTCAGATTAAAATACTTTATGCTTCTGTCTTGTAGGAAGAAGATGTTATCAATGTGGCAAGCCAGGCCACATTGCAAAGCAATGCAAGCAAAGATTAAGGAGTGCAGGGCCTGGCTTGCATACCGTTTTAACTAACTGTCAAAATTTGACCATTAATATGAAAACAGGCAGAAATTCACCCAAAGAAAACTAACTTAATGTACATGGTAACTTTAACCTGGTTTTTCAAACTCACCTAGGCACATTGTTTTACACTTCATAAAAGTAACCAGGTCAAAATTAATCTGTACATTCCCTCAGTTAGTTTTCATTGGGTAAATTGCCTGTTGTTATTTATTAATTAACACATTCAGTCATGCAGTATTGCACTTATTCAATTAAAGAATATATAAAATACCTATAAAAGGTAAAAAGGGCAGTCATCTTAGGTTAATTCAATAATAGCTTTTAGAAGGAAATACAGAACTTTGCAGTTCGATATACAGGGTGGACGTACAGGTCCTGGAAAACCTGGAAAGTCATGGAATTTCAATATTCCAAAATCCAGGTCTGGAAATCGTGGAAAATCAATTTTAGTCATGGAAATTAGTGATGGAAAATTGAAATTTCATACTTCCAGGTCATGGATTTTGAAAAAAGTGGTCATGGCAAGTCATGGAATTTTAAATCAGGAGAAGGTGTACGAACCCTGAATATATGATGAGCAATTAGCCATTGACTCACCATTTAGTCAACTACAATTATAATGCAACTCTTCTTTTGGTTGACATTCAGACAATATACACAGTCCAATTTAATTTTCCATTATATATATTAATAGTACATTTACTAACTTGGTCAAAATTGCCATTTGCCATGATATGATTCAAATTTTTTTTGGCACATGAAAAATATGTTGTCTAAAACTTATTTATTGATGCAAATTGCCTGGTTTGATATTTTAATTGATTATTGTGCAATATTTCCGTACTGCTTATTTGTCTAATTTAAATAAATGTTATTCTTTAATATATTTCGAATTCAAATCATTCAATACAATTTTCAATAATTATATATACTTGTTATTATAAATACTAAATTATTATGTAAATATATAAAATCTATTAAAATATTCATTAATTAACATATTTTGTGACCTCTTTTTCCAAACATCAAATCATTGTTCATTAATTGACCACTGAAAATACTGTATGTTTTAAAATTAATGTAGTGATGGATCTTCTGAAAAAATCCAGTAAACACGAAGCTCGCTCTATAGGAAGATGTTCTGTGACTGGTAGATTATATGACAATGACAAAAGATGTAAATTTTGGCTTACATATAAAACAAAAGGAATATTGTTCTTGCTTTAAATGTTCTTTAGAAAATCCATTCAATAGCTTATTCTTTTGTTATTGTCATAATCAACCGATCACAGAACATCTTCCTATAAGAGCTTCGTGCCGACCCAGAAAATTGTGAGATTAAAACAAGTCCATAATTAACAATTTTCCCAAAAAGTAACGTGAATTAGATATATCATTGGGTCGTTCCAGAGAAGATCCATACCCCCCCGAGGTAATTTCTGCCGTACGGAGGGGGAGAAAAAATTGTTTCTAATAATAGTAAATGTATTAGGACATCCAAAGGGGGTTAACTTCCTATTTCCTCTGTGGGGGTGGTATGGATGTTTTCTGGAATGCCCCATTCTACCAAATCTAGTATATGTCATCAAGAATGTTTTATTTTCTTTACTCTGGTGTTTTATTGAATGTTTTCTTTTCTTTTGATTCCTACTGCTCAGCAGAGGTTGGTAAAAACACCCTCCAATTTTCAGACCATATGGTGATAGCAGCTAGTACGTGCATGCACATTGTGATTTCATGACCATATGCAGTACTCCACCAATACATAAGATTCCTCAAATGCACAATACCTAGCTCTCACTTAACAGACGGCTTCTTGGTCTATAGAAATATAAAGCAGGTAATTATCTAAAAAACAGACCAATGTGTTATGAGAAAAATATAAAATAGAAAAGTATTTAAATGTCTTAATATTCTTGTGCATGCAAATATTTCTGATGTGGTGACCACCATGCAACTGTTACACATAATTAGTGTTTGGTGAGAAAAGGGTTTTACTAACATGACAATGCTGATGCTCATCACTAAATTATGAAGGGTTTCTGTATACATTTTTGGACCTGATAACCAGGAGCAGCTGCAAATAATGCAACAATATTCTTAGGTTGGTTGTACTGTAGGTCATAAAATTCACACTTAAAATATTCGTCAAGTCACACTACTTTTGACATTTAGTTATATCGAGTGTGACATATGTCCACAATCCTGGGCATGCATACACCTTAATTACATGAATTTGCAGTTACAACTTGCAACTCGACTTTATACAGTGGTCGGTTATTATATAAATGCAACAGAATTAAAAAGTACTCTAAGCTGGCCCACCTAGCTAAGGGCCATGGATTGTAAAATAACAACCATGGTAGGGCTAAGTAAAATAACCGACTGTGTTCACATCAAACTCAGCCTTTTGTTTCAAGTTTTGTTTTGTTTCAATTCAGATACCCTTTATCAAGAACAATATTCAATTGTCTGTTGGTTGGAATATGATTTAATTGGACTTGGTTGAATAAAATAGATCAGTTGAGGGAAGGCATATAAGGTTGATTTTCCTCATGTAAACAAGAGGAGAAAAGTGAAACTGGCCTTCACGTACGGCTTTATACATATATGTGTAAATTATCCCCTAAAATCCAAAATGTCAACTATTTAAATAATAGCTTCGAGATTTGCTTTGATTTCTCACTATTATATATAATAAACAAAACTTATTTCGTGGTTAGTACAACCCAATTATGTATACTTGATGCTAAACATATCGAAAAGCCGAAATATTTTTATAAAAACCAGGGGGGGGGTGAAAACTGTGGCGGGCTCACAATTGAGCCTTGTTCAGTGGCAATTACCATGAATTTAGGGACCAGTAGTCATGGAAATGGCGTCATTTTCACTCAAAATCCGCCATATTTTTGGCTTCACTTCGATCATAGACAATCAAAGGAATGGACTGGAAACGCTAGGCAAAACCCTATGATGCGTCCGCGGCATCCGTGATACGGGCTAGCACGTATCAATTCATCAGTTACCGTGGCAACTGGCCTGTAAAAAAGTTTAAAAAATGTAGATTTTGCATATATTTTTTCCCTTTTTTTTAACAAACGCAAAGGTAAAAGATATTTTTTGGCGGTACCAAAAGCAGAGAATATATGCCAAGGTGAGTACGTGTATATTTTTAATTTTACCTATAAAAACAATCATTATAACTTCGGTTTTTCACAACGTTGACAAAACAATTACGCACGTATATTACATCTCTCCCTGTGTGGTTATATTTCGAACCCTGGAACTTGGCGACAAAGCTGTCACTTGTCTGCTAAGGCATATAGTTATACTCTCATATGTAATGTTGATTCCACTAAGACGTTCACAAATCCCTGCGATATATAAATTTTGTAATAAATATATTTTTTAACAGCTCACCTTGCGCGACTACGAAAAGATGTCAATTTTTGTTGTTCTAAATCCGAACCCTGTAACTACAGTTTTAAAAGAGTTTGGGATTTTAAGGTTACATATTTTGAACAAGAATAGACTAATGAGTTCCACTATCGCTTTTTTAAACTTCTTTTTGGCAAAACAAACTCAAAAATCAATATTGAATGCGTGTGCACTGTCTTTGAAAACACAAATGTCGCTATTTTTGTTTTTCGAGTATACACTTACTTCGAACCCTGTAACTACAGTTTTAAAACAGTTTAGGATTTTAAAGTCACATATTTTGAACAAGAATAGACTAATGAGTTCCACTATCGCTTTTTTAAACTTCTTTTTGGCAAAACAAACTCAAAAATCAATATTGAATGCGTGTGCACTGTCTTTGAAAACACAAATGTCGCTATTTTTGTTTTTCGAGTATACACTTACTTCGAACCCTGTAACTACAGTTTTAAAACAGTTTAGGATTTTAAAGTCACATATTTTAAACAAGAATAGACTAATGAGTTCCACTATCGCTTTTTAAAACTTCTTTTTGCGTTAATAAGGCTAAAAATAATCAATGACTGTGTGCATACTATTTTTGACAACACAAATGTCGGGAGATTTGTTTGCGAAGAATGCACTTCATATTTCGAACCTTGCAACTATAGTGTTAAACAGTTTAGGTTTTTAAAATTACCTATTTTGAACAAGCTCGAGTTCCACTACCGTTCATTACTTCTTTTTTGCTCAAACAAACCCAAAAATCATCATTGAATGCGTGCGTACTGTTTTTGACAACACAAATGTCGCCATTGCCCTGGTGTTTTATATGTGCATGGGTATACGTACTGTACTAGAAATACATGCATGCAGTGACCCCTCGCCTTGCTAACCAAATCACTATATAAAGCAAAATTGAAGTATCAGCAGTAGTTGTGGTTGCACAACATATTTTTGATTCAAAATTGTATGAAGAAAATAAAAGACCATTACTTTTAATTTTTCACAAATGAAAGTTAAGCCGCAGCCCATGCATGGTCAGGCATATGTGGGGCATTTGATTTTTCATTAAATTATTTGGTTAAATTCCCTACCATGGGAAAAGAGATATCATGCAGTCAATGTCTCACTCACAGAATACTACACAGAAGTCCATGTCCATTGTTTTTTTTGCATAAGCGCAAGTACTCGATGATTGTAAAACTTCCAAATCCTTAATTTCAAATGCCCCACCCCCGGCAAAGGTTTGAGTTCAAATGCCCAAGCCCCGGACATGCTTTACAGGAAAATGGCCCGGGGTTGGGCACGCTTGGATTTGACCGATGCATTAAAAGTCATGGAAGTCTGTGCACTAGCTAGAATAAGAAGTATATTTACTAGACAGTAAATACCAATAAACAGTAAATAGTAGACAGTAAATACCAATAAACAGAAATGTATTTAATTTATATCATAGTATTTATACAATTTCATTTTTATACTATAAAAAATATATAAACATGCAGTCACAGATATGCAAAATGTTAACTTGGCTTTATTTATAGAGTTAGCAAATAGCAATAAAAGTTACCTTGTCTTCACATCGCTTTATACTGTAAGTCAATGCTTTAAATTTACATATTTTAGAATCAGTTCATTTCCTCGTATTAAACTGCATGTATTTCTACATGAAATCATTGTGAGTACCGAGCGGGTTTACTATAAACGAACATTCGGACACAGTCGGAAAAATGTTGATGGTATCAATGTTGTACCGTCGCTTGCAACTAACGATGAACGGTTGCTCATAAAAACATTACATATATTTGCGTGAGAATCTTCAATGTTTGTCATGAGCAACAACACTTAGTTGACATGTTTTAATCTGATCAGCCAATATAACGTTCAAGTAGCTACAAGCTTGGTTGGCTTTGAAACCATGAAATGATCATCACAAACTTTGAACTTTTTCAGTAAAAACATCGAACTTTGTGATCAGAATAGACAATGTATTATCTGCAACTGTTCACCCTTAGTTGCAAGCGATGGTATTTGTAACCACGAACGGGGTTATGGCAGTTACTGTAAGCCAGCATGAAATTGCCTGTGACATTATTAATATTACTGACTTGAACTTGTATGACAAACACTTTATTGGAAAATTGTAAAGAAACAGAGGATGGAATATACTTGTACAGCTATCATTGGTATATAGCGTTGTGAAGACAAACCACCAGGTACAGTACCTTTTACACATTTTTTATTTTATAATGAACGAATAAAGTATATTTATAGAGCTATTATTATATAGAACATGGGTCATGGTCATGATAGTATGATCATGATAGTGCAGTTTCATGTATAAAGTAATAACAACACAAACTATCAAGGGGGCTGGTTGTATGAAGCGGGCTATCTGCTAATTTATGTCAAGAAAATATATCCTTTGACCCAAAGCCGAAAGGAAAATCTTGATTAACTAAAAGACCAGTTTACACTTAATCTGAACCAAATATTTTTATCAACTTTTTTGAGAAAATCTTGAAGGCAAAACAGAGAAGAAAGTAATCAACCTGGTGAGATGGCTGCATGGGCTAGCTTTTCGATATAAACAGCCCTAATATATCAATTTAATAAATTTAACTGAAAAATAAACTAAGTTTAACTGTCAAATTTAGCCGTTATTACTGTAAACAATTTTAACAATTGCAGATTTGATATAGGAACAATATAAAATTACATTGTTAATTTATCAAATCTACAATGGTTAAAAACAACTGGCCGTCCCTTCCCCTCTTTTGGACCATGCCTTTGGGGGCACTTGATCCTGGCATGCCCCCGTTCACCGCACAACCAGCATACTATGCCTATATTTGAAAATATAAAATTCTAGTATGTAGTATTATTAACCCATTGAGTGGCAGCACTCTCCACTTGACAAGTAAAATCATCTGGCGTTAGACAGAGCAAAATCGTCTGGCATTAGGCAGAGTAAAATACTAAAGTATGGCTAATGAGGGTGCATTGCGTCTTAAAAGATTAACCTGTCAAGTGGAAATCAGGCCTCGAATTTCCCTGAAATCAATCGACGGCAATGGCGTTAAAAATTGCCGTAGAACGTAACAGCTGTCTATGCCAATTTTGGCAGTTTCCACGGCATTTTTTCAAATTACTGTAACAAAAATTTAATTTTATTGTTAATATAGTAATTTAGTGAATAGTATAAAAATTATACTATACGGCAAAAAATTGCTGTCGTTTCCGCAATGATCCACGGCATTTTGTACTCCCTCTACGGCAATTGCCGCGATAAAATTCGAGCCCTGGTGGAAATACACCAATATGCACTCAATTTTGTTATTCTATTATGTATAATACCAGACAATTTTATTTGTCATCGGGAGAGTGTTGCCACTCAATGGGTTAGTCTGTTATTGGGTCCTACAGCATTTATTTGAAAGAATAAGTTAAGGCTGTTATTTCTATGGACATTTTTCGAGGGTTGCTGTTGCCTTCAATATGTTCACTGTACTCAAAAGGTACATCAGGCAAGTGCAACTGTACAACTCTTTCACATTGTTTAACCCATTGAGTCGCATTGCATCCGGATGCACCCTACGTTAGTATTTTACTCTGTCTAACGCCAGACGATTTTACTCGTCAATGGGAGAGCGCTGGCGCTTAATGGGTTAATGTTCTATATATGCAGAATAATATTATAATTGTGCTTATTTTTTGTATTTTCCAGGAACATTGTCGAAGAAACATTCATTTTCGAACATACAATAATTATTAAAATTTATTGTAAAGTTAATTGGTCCAATATTTTTGACTACTGTAATATCACAGGACTATTATAATATTTGTAGTTTTAGTAAAGTACATACGTGAACGGCATGCCACAGCATAATGGCCACGGAGGCCACACTTATAGCAACGTCCTAAATTTAAAGAAAATACAATCAGTTTTCAAGAATATTCATTTAGGTTACAGTACATACAGGAAGTGCACTCACTAAGATGTTGATAAAATACAGATGTTAACAAAATATACAGTACTTACCATTGCCCATTCTCCTTGCTTGATTTTCTAAATTAGAAAAATAGAATCGAAAGAAGTTTAATTTTCCAAAGTTCTGAAGTAAACAAATGTGAAGTTCTACTATATATATATAGACGAAAAAAATGTGTTAAAGTTTGACCCAGAGCTAGTGCTAATCGTGCGTTCAATAACAGTCCTCAGTACTTAGTGTATAAATCTACTTCAAGAACTATACCGTCACGACGTTGTGGGTGTCGTTCATGATTAACTGTAATGAAAGAATGTTGATTAGTTTGAATTACACAAGAGAGGTATGTGTGTATAATTAAACTTTATAAAGAATGTACTATTACCATGCCGTGGACGTTGTTGTCGTTCTTGAACTGAAAAAAATAGTACTAACTGTAGTTAGACCAAATTACATATTACAGATATAGGTATGTAAGTATATCAACATTAGAACCATACCATTTGCATCTTCTTGTCGAGGTTGTTCATTCACTGAAATAAAATCATGCACCTTATTGTAGAAGTAATAATAATATAATTATAAGTATGATTGAACCATACTGAACATATTGTTTTATAAGATTAACTTACATGGCTGGACTTCTCCTTCATCCTCTTCGACTTCACTTTCTATAGTTAATTAGAAAAAAAAATGTTGCAAATATTCATAAGAAATCTGTAATATACTTAATCTGTAATATATTGTACATAATATATTCTTAATTATCAATCATTACTAATTTACTATATTATTGTAGAAAACATTCACAACTGTACCATGGAGAAAATAATTGAAAGTTAATCCTTTCTTGTCAATTGAGTACATCAGATTTTATTATTTCTCAAACAGAATGACCTAGCTTTAAGAATTTGTGTTTTAAATATATAACTGAATTCTTACCATCATCAACATGAACGTCTAAAATAAAAGATGTTGTGTTAGAAGGTTAAAGATGAGGTTACTGTGTCACATGCATGATATTGCAAATTGATAATCCGTAGAATGTTATAACGATGCTCTGTAAAATGAAATTGTCAGTATACACTTTATTACATGTAGCTACTGTAGGAGAGGACAATCTACAACTACTGTACATGCATGGTACTCACTGGGTAATTGGATTGAATTTTAACATGTTTACATGAGAAAATATTTCATTGTGGCTGGCCAAGAGGGTTTTCGCTGAGCAATTGGTCACAATTAACTTTACCTCTGCATGGTCACTGAAATATTGGTCACAAAAATATACCTCGAGGTCACAAAAATATACCTCAAGGTCACAAATATACTTCAGTCTGTACAACTGTAGCCAAACAATTGGTGACAACTGGCCTCTGTTCACACAATTTACTATTAGTTGTAAGTCCATTTAATTTTATGTGAGGTCCAACCAGCTAGAACAAATGTTGCTTTATATAAAACCAAAAAGTAGATACAGTATTATACCACATATTTATTGCAATGTACATACCAAGAATAGCAGGGTTGTCCAGTTCCGGTAATTCCACTAAAATGAAATAGTTATAATATAGGGATTAGTTATAATATAGGGATTAGTTATGAAATAGCTAAGTTTATAAGTCCAAGCTATACCTATATGTTCAACCTGGATGCCTCTTTTAATATGGTTTTATTCGCTCATTCAAAAAATTGGAGCAACTTACTTTTGTGTTTGTTAAACCTTTGCTATAATTATAAAAGAAAATATTAAAGGAAATCATTAATAAAATACAACATCTCCACTCCCAGTGCATATTAAAACAAATATTGAATACATTCCCATCTTTTATATTGAACAGGAATGTTTTTGGCCATGAAGCAAAGGCTGTTTAACATCAGCTAAGAAGCATACTATAAATAATTTTAAAATATAGTCATACCTTTCAGCCAAATTATTTGAAATATCTGTAAAAAACAAAAAAAAACTGTTAAAAACACGAAAACTTTTTTGTTGTGACAAACTCAGTAAATGAAGTTATTTTTGCCCAAAACATATATATTCCACAAATAGTAGTGTTATTATTTTTCGTTCAAAGATACAGTGTATGTTCAAAAAACTTAACACATTTTAATTAAAGTTGGGTTTTTTTCGGAAAAAACTTACTGTCAGTTACTGCCTAACAAAAATGCCAAAAACCAAAATTTCGCGCGCTTCGTATTTACGTGGATGTTGCGTGTGAATTTTCGGTAACCATAGTAACACACGCAATATCCACGTAGAGTGATCTGGAGTGTCTTGAATATTATTCTGGGGCCAGTTGTTCAAAACTGGTTTAGCTTAAACCCCAGCTTAACCTAAAATTCAAAGCAAACTTCCTCACAGCTTGTCTATGGAAATTTGGAAATATTTTTCCAGATATCTTGTCTGGATGTAAGGAGTTTACTTCTCTGAAGTTTTGAAATAAACATGCGTGCAGAAATACATAAACTAAAACAGGTTAAATTTTAACCCAGGGTTAGCGCTAACCCACCGTTGAACAACCGGTCCCTGAGTTCCGTTGTACGAAGGTCAGATATAGGGCTATCCACCGGATAGTGATTTTTTCAAACTTTATAAAATGCTTGAAAAACTGTGAAACTATGGATAGAGACGACACACAAGTGAGAAGAAGTATGAAAAACATTTAATTTATAAATACTAAACTTTAATACGAGTTATACCAATCAACGACTGATCAAAGAAAATCTCTTTCTAATGTTGTGATAAACACAGGCTGCCAGTGGTCGGGTATTTTCCCAGCCCATCTCACCGAATAGCCATCTTGCAAGCCATCGATATGCAACTGCACGTAAAAATCTTAAAAAAAGAAAAAAGTTGTCAATGGCACCATAAAACCGTTCAGTCACAAATACTTACACTCAGATGAAGCAATATTATATTGTCACTGTGACAATACCTGCAGTATGTATGGGGGATTGTAACAACCAACTAATTTTTAAAATTGCCAGATATTAACTTGACCCTTTGTTTATAAATCAAATAAAGTTATGATAGTCTCTTTGTATAAATCAAAACCTGTGGCATTTTGGATTTTTGGTAAACTATAATATTGTTTTATACCTCTATTTAGCTTGAGTTTGTATAAGCATCAAACATAAACAAGCATTACATTTTACAAGAGTCATACTGTCACTGTCATTATAAAATGCTCATGAGAATTTGTTCACTGTGGTCAAGATTTTATATTTCCTCGTGTCCTTTAATACTACAGTAAATACTTACTCGTTTTCTGTGTGGCCATACTTGTTGTAGCGCCTATCACTTTTAGTTTTGAGCAAAGGACCAACTTGTAACAGGACTGTTTTATTAGTCAAGGGATCGAAATCTGCATGGCTGGTTATACACATGGCGTCTAACCCTTCAAATGTAAATTTTCCTGTCGCTTCGATAATTTCTTTACAGCAGCGATATTCACGAGACCCAACAAGCAACGAATCGTTGCAGTTCCCACATTTGCACCTACACAAATACAGTATATTTATCGAGATTATTTATAATACTGCTGAGCACCATTACATTCAAGCATCGCACGAACTCATGGATATAACGGCATCACTTGCATCATTTAATATTAAGCTTACCAGCTTTGTACTGGCACAACTTTTTCATATCGCTGCTCTAAAACCTCCCTTAGAATACCATCCTCGTCTTCTTCATCGTCTTCACTGGTATCAATGTCTTCGCTGCCAGACGAAGCAAGTGGCTCACCTTGATAAGGCAAAAAGTGGTATCCGGTCGTTTCGCTCCCAAGTCGATTCGCCCCAGTCGTTTCGCCCCCAAGTCGATTCGCCCCAAGTCGTTTCGCCCCCAAGTCATTACATGTCAATTTGTATTTGTAAGAATATCCCAAAACTTATTGAATACTCGATAAAGCTTTTTTAGCAAAATATATGAATTACAAACTAACAAACTAGACCATATTTGCGAGTACTGTGGACAACCGTTTGTCTTCTCTAGATGATCTTAGTTTATTGGTTAATATGATAGAAGATTTAGAGTCAGACCATCCACAAGAAAATCCAACCAATGATGACAATGAGAGAAGTCAAAACAATGAAGATATGTCCAGTGAGTGTGCTTTAGAATATCTACAGTAATAACTACAAACATTCAAAATGTAGTTTTAGTAATGTGAAAAAATAGTCATATCTATAATAATTAAATTATCTATAATCACTAAAAAGAATAGAATATTTAGAAATGTAATTTAGCAATGTAAAAATTTATTCACTAATTTATTTACTCAATTTCTTGTTTTCTCCAGACAAATCTTCTGAGTCAGACCATCCACATGAAGATCCAACCAACGACCGGGAGCCAAGCCAAAGTAGTGAAAATATATCTGGCAGTGAGTGTGCTTTAGAATATCTAGTAACTAAAAACATTCAAAATGTATTTAGCAACTAAACCATTTGTTTTTGGACTGGTCAGGGGCATCGCTATAGGGGGTGTGGGGGGTAACACACCCCAATAATTCAAACGTTGGTCAAAGTTGGTCAAAATGGAACTGATATTTGCCCAAAGTTGGTCAAAATGGAACTGATATTTGTTTAAAATTGAAGGTAAAACTAGGAAAAATTTCGGATAAAAGATGGTCGAAGTTGCTCAAAGTCATGAAATGGTTCGCAGTTTTAACAATTATAAAGTTTTTGTTATGTTTGCGATGAAAAATTTATATTTGAAAAAATTATTATTTGTAATAATTATTTGTAATGTCCCGATACCTTATATTTTTTGTCCTCTCTAGATGATCTTAGTTTATTGGTTAATATGATAGAAGATTTAGAGTCAGACCATCCACACGAAAATCTAACCAATGATGACAATGAGAGAAGTCAAAACAATGAAGATATGTCCAGTGAGTGTACTTTAGAATATCTACAGTAATAACTAAAAGCATTCAAAATGATTATCAGATCGAGTATATATTAAACCTTTACATACAATTTAATAAAATTTGCTTCATTCCACAAAGCATAAAGCGACAATACATGTAAAGTTGACCACCAAGCGTTTTCCTATGCATAAGGCTAAGTGAAATAATTTATTTTGTGACATTCACCTAATTTAATTTATTTTGATTTGTTGTCTTTTACAACAGAAGATGACCCAGCTGCAACTCCCCCTGATGAACAACATGAAGGCATGCTGCACGAATCTTCAATTGAAGAACCACATGTGAGAGATGTCGAACCAACACACCATGATGTTACGTACACTGTGGTAGATGGAGCTACAAAACGTGGAAAATCAAGGTTAATCGACAGTCAAGGGTACACATATAATGTGAAGAGAAGACGTGTCAATGCGACGGATTGGCAGTGCTCAGTCCGCCCAAAAGGTAACCCATGCAGAGCTACAGTAAAACAAAATAACAATGACATTTTTGAGCGCAACACCTGTAGTCATAACCATCCTGGAGAACCTGGAGCCATAACTGCAGCAAAAATAGCTGTGACTGTAAAACAAAAGGCAACAGATGACCTGTTTAAACCCGCATCTGCTATTGTCGATGAAGTTTTCCTTGATGAAATAGATGACCGTCCGTGCCCTAGTTTGCCAAAACCAGCAAACCTAGCCAGAGCTGCAAACAGATTGCGTCAGCGCCTGAGACCAGATGACCCTGCTGATTTGAAATTTGTCCTGCAAATGGAACACATACCAGATGGGTTTCTGCAAAAGGATATCTGTGTTCGGGAAAGGCGTCATCTCTTATTTGCGACTGAACAGCATTTGAGCATATTAAACAATGCAAAAACATGGTACATTGACGGAACATTTAAACTATGTCGGTATCCCTTTACCCAACTTCTAACCATCAACGCATTTGTTCGATCCGATGACCATATGAAACAAGTGCCTCTTGTTTTTGTCTTGATGTCTGGAAAGAAAAAGAATGATTATGTTAAGGTAATTATATTGCAATATATATTTAGCTAAATCAACACAGTATTTGAGATAATAAGTAATCAACATAGTTATAGATTACTTACATAATTCAGACGATATATGGATTATATACAGTGGGTGCCAAAAGTGTTAGTGCAGTACGAGACAATTGCAGATCTCTCATGCAAATGTTCAATACGGTATAGATAGAGCAAACACAGATTTTCGAGGTCTGCAACAAGCTGTTTTATCTGTAAAGATCATCACCGCTAACTAAAGTTCATTACTACTAATGAACTACCAATAAAGTCATTATTATTATTATTAGGTCTTAAAGGAGATAATAGGTTTGCTTCCAAACCCTGCAGTCCAGAAAGTTGTCATCGACTTTGAAAGTGCCATTTGGGGAGCTTTGAGGAAAGTGCTTCCAACAGTGAAGATAATGGGCTGTGTCTTCCATTGGACACAAGCCTTATGGCGCAAGATCCAAGCCCTCGGTCTACAGTCTGCTTATACCTCTGACAATGGTACATTTAAGTTTTTACGAAGAGTGATGGCCTTACCATTTTTGCCCCATGACCAGATTTATAAAAAATAACAATTTAGTATTTAGGCATGTGCGAGCGACAATTATCCAATCAGAATCCAATATTTTCATTTTCCCGCGAATACGTTTGTTTAGATTACATCATTCATGATACATACTATGACATCATAACTGAGACCCAGGTCATCGCGCGGAATTCAAGATGGCGTCAGGCAAATGTGCATTCCTCGATTTAGCCGCTAGTGTCACACTAATATTTATTGAGCCAAATTGTCTAAATTCGTATATAGGAACTACGCATCTTTAGAGTCGCATGTCGGGACTCTACTGCAAACCGCCAAAACCATGAACAAAATATTCACGATATGAAACCGCAACCACAGTCCACAGGTATTTTTTTAGGAATACTTCACAATTTAAGGACGATTTAACTAAAATCTGTAGTTGTCTGTTAAAAAGCATTTTTCAAGCATGTCCATGCTGTAAAACGATACGGAAAATAAATCATTTTACTTAGTTTACCTTTTGTTGTTTTGGGGGCGAAACGACTTGGGGCGAATCGACTTGGGGGCGAAACGACTTGGGGCGAATCGACTTGGGGGCGAAACGACTTGTATTCCTTTGGACACATAGCGTTGCAACCTATTCATCATTTGGTTTGCACTCATGGAATTTACCATCTGCTTCAGTTCTTCCATTGTCATGTTTGCATCAGCAGGATGTTGACGCAAGTAAACATTTGCTTGTGACAACAGCTGATGCCGTTGTTTCATATTTAACGCCCAATAAGGAAACCGTGGGTGAGAAGCAAACCTCCATTCAAACTTACCATCTGCAAGCCTCTCTGCAAACTTCATTAAATGTTTGAAAGCTTCAGTTAACGTTATACCATGTTGCCGTGACCTATTTGTAGGGTCACCCTTCCCATAAGGAAACAATGTAGGAAAGGCCATAGTAGCTAAACCATCTGTTTTAAATTCATTAACGAAATTACCTTCAGTAGATGGCCAATCTAATGGATCAACCTCATTCACTGCATCTTGGATAGCTGCACCTTCTTTTCTCTGTCTTTGACGCATAGGAATAAACGATGTACTGCCACTTCCTAAAACTAACTCTTCCACACTTGCATTAGCACTCATTACTGGGTCTTGGGGAGGCCCCTCATTTTCAACATGAACCGAAAGCTCATTTTCATCAATGACATACCTTAGCTCATCGGGAATACCGTTTTCTGGTAAACTTTGGATGACATCTCTATCAATTTCGATATCTTTAAAGAACGGATTGTTTGTCTTTAACCATAACACAGCCTCGATCGAGAACTTTGTGTCGACGCACAGTGAAGTCTCGATGTGTGTCTTCTGCACCATGTCTTCGCACAATCAAGACAGGCAAGTCTGCCACACGTGAAGGCAACCTATTCAAGAAACTTTGAATATCTTGTGGTAAGTTAAGTACATGTCCTTTATACCCCCTCTGACCCCCGTGTTTTCTATACACTCTCATAATGGGACACACCCTTGAAATTAACATTTCTTATACCTGTGTGAAACCTCTCAATTGTTCAGGAATTGTTCCTGGGTCCATGTCATTCTCGGCACTGAATTTCTTGGGTGATTTCTTGTCTCTCTTGCACCGGTAACAAATGTATCCTTCTGATGCTAAGTTCTGTCGTGTTGGCCAAGCTTCTTTACACATTGTACATTGTCGATGCTCTAAATGTTCTTGATTTGAATGAAAACTGTGCATTTCATTTTGTACAAACTCTAGCTCATGCAGAGGGTTGTCAACATTTTGCCAACCACCCTCATGTAAATATTCATTTCTACTCACCTCTGGCCCCTCTGCTTCATGTACAGACTCACTATCCTCGTCTGCTTTAGGAACAGATACAGGTATATCTACATTTGGATCAACAGACATACTCAACTGCTCATTTGATTCTTGGTCATTTTCATTTGAACTTGCTGTGTGAAAAACTGCTCGTAGTATTTCAAGTATTCTTGCTCGTTCATCAACTGTTTCGGTTGCTTGGTGTTGCTTTCTGTTTTGTAGCCTGTTTGTTCGTTCTTCTTCAGTCTCATTTTGCATTTTATCTAAATCATACACTCTCTTATACTCTTTTCGCTTACCTTTAGCTTCTGTAGTCCTTTCTCGCCACGCTTCTCTTCGTTTTGCCAAGCGAGTTTCTCTTTCCTCTGCACTTTCTCCAGCCTGTTTCTCTCGCCTATAAACTCTCTTATAATCATTTTGTTTACCTTTCGCTTCAGCAGTCTTTTTTCCCCATGCTTCTCTTTGTTTCGCCAAGCGGGTTTCTCTTTCCTCGGCACTTTCTGCAGCTTCTTTCTGTTGCCTATCAACTCTTTTATATTCCCTTTGCGTACCTTTTGCTTCAGCAGTCTTTTTTTTCCACGCTTCTCTGCGTTTTCCCAGGCGAGCTTCTCTTTCCTCAGCAGTCTCCTCAAGCAAACGTTGCCGTCTTCGCTCCCTTCTTTTCGCCAGAAGCTCGGCTTTCTTGTCGTTTTCTTGTCGCTCTTCGTTTGGCTCCATATATTTTCAATTGGTATTTAATACCGTAATTAGTTTATTGAACCTTTTATTGCTTTTAATGCTGTCAAAAAAATTTTGCAAACGTACAAAATACTGTAGTGCAAAAAGCAAAATATTTTCATAAAGTATCTTTCAGTTGAAGTCGTCATTTGTCATACAACAACAAATTTTAAATTTGACCAATCAGTGTTCGCTTTCATCACAGTCCGCCATAATTTTGAGATCAGTGAGGATGACCACCCACCCAACACCGTTGGTGACCCACGCCCGCGATATTTGATGAACTTTAGACTCCGCTAATGCTTTCGTTTCCCCGGGTGTAAATAGCCGGGGGGAATTAGTACCCTCGCACGGCGCTTCGCGCCGTCGGCTCGGGGATTAATATACTTCCAATAAAGTTCAAACGATTTTTACATTAACTTGACACCTCTTATTCGAATTAAACTTTAACTAAGTCAAAATATGTGACTTTAAAATCCTAAACTGTTTTAAAACTGTAGTTACAGGGTTCGAAGTATAAAGTGTATACTCGAAATACAAAAATAGCGACATTTGTGTTTTCAAAGACAGTGCACACGCATTCAATATTGATTTTTGAGTTTGTTTTGCCAAAAGGAAGTTTGGGAAAGCGATAGTGGAACTCATTAGTCTATTCTTGTTCAAAATATGTGACTTTAAAATCCCAAACTCTTTTAAAACTGTAGTTACAGGGTTCGGATTTAGAACAACAAAAATTGACATCTTTTCGTAGTCGCGCAAGGTGAGCTGTTAAAAAATATATTTATTACAAAATTTGTATATCGCAGGGATTTGTGAACGTCTTAGTGGAATCAACATTACATATGAGAGTATAACTATATGCCTTAGCAGACAAGTGACAGCTTTGTCGCCAAGTTCCAGGGTTCGAAATATAACCACACAGGGAGAGATGTAATATACGTGCGTAATTGTTTTGTCAACGTTGTGAAAAACCGAAGTTATAATGATTGTTTTTATAGGGAAAATTACAAATATACACGTACTCACCTTGGCATATATTCTCTGCTTTTGGTACCGCCAAAAAATATCTTTTACCTTTGCGTTTGTTAAAAAAAAGGGAAAAAATATATGCAAAATCTACATTTTTTAAACTTTTTTACAGGCCAGTGGCCACGGTAACTGATGAATTGATACGTGCTAGCCCGTATCACGGATGCTGCGTTCGCACCATAGCGTTTTGCCTAGCGTTTCCAGTCCATTAACAGACTATAAACAGCCCGCTTTTTATCTAAAAAAAACCTGTGTTTATTTAATAAATGAAGCGGAAAAAACAAGTTTAACGCATTCTTACCGGTGAGAAGAAATATTTTCTGTTGAAAAAGTATTGTTGCATCCGTAAAAAGAGCATAGACGAGGCATTTTTCTCGAGAAAAATGATTTCGGCTTTGAATACAAAATATTTTTGTAAAAACCAGGGGGGTGAAGTACATTGTCAAAAGCTTAGGATCGCGGTTGGGACAGTGATAGTTGCCATGAATCTAGGGACCAGTAGTCATGGCAATGGCGTCAGATCCGCCATGTTTTTGCGGACACTTTTTTATCCCGAGCAGGTCCTCCAGTAATATAGTATAGCTCAGTGGATGTGATCCATAGAAACGAATGACTTGAATAACGAAAAAGGCGAATATGATTTATTCATTAGACCAGAAGAAGGCCAACAGGCAAATTACTCTGAGTGTATATCCACAACGAGCAAGCTTGAAAATATGCCTGATCACGGTGGGTTTAAGTATTTTAAAGAATATGACACACAACCTCGTTCTCAGGCAGTCACAGGCGGGGGAAGATTTATTTGGTTGGGGTAGAGCTAGAGCAAACCCTATAGATAGATTCGGGGCCATAGTCTTCCGAAATCTTGAGGGGAGGGGGTATTTGAACAAAATATCTAAAGTTGTTCAAGTTACATTGCTGGCAGCGAAGAATCTTATCTCTTTATATTAATTTTTCCACTTTTGGGGGCGTAACCCTCTCACTTCCCTCTCCCCTCCGGTTCCTCCGCCTATCCCCTGCCTCTTTCCTCTTGTGGGTCCCTGTAGTACAGTATTCATCTTGCTTCTTTCTCTATTCTTCTTTCTTCTTCTTGCTGATGTACTGTACTGTGCTGTGCTGTGCTGTGCTGTGCTGTGCTGTGCTGTGCTGTGCTGTGCTGTGCTGTGCTGTGCTGTGCTGTGCTGTGCTGTGCTGTGCGGTGCTGTGCTGTGCTGTGCTGTGCTGTGCTGTGCTGTGCTGTGCTGTGCTGTGCTGTGCTGTGCTGTGCTGTGCTGTGCTGTGCTGTGCTGTGCTGTACTGTACTGTGATGTGATGTGATCCTTAGAAACGAATGACTTGAATAACGAAAAAGGCGAATATGATTTATTCATTAGACTTGAAGAAGTTTCTGCTGAACGTCAGAAATGCGAAGCAACCCTACGTCAGAAGTCACGCGAAATAATCGCACTGGCCAACAGGTAATTTACTCTGAGTGTATATCCACACCGAGCAAGCTTGAAAAATATGCCTGACCACGGTGGGTTCAAGTATTTTAAAGAATATGACATACAACCTCGTTCTCAGGCAGTCACAGGCGGGGGAAGATTTATTTGGTTGGGGTAGAGCTAGAGCAAACCCTATAGATAGATTCGGGGCCATAGTCTTCCGAAATCTTGAGGGGAGGGGGTATTTGAAGAAAATATCTAAAGTTGTTCAAGTTACATTGCTGGCAGCGAAGAATCTTATCTCTTTATATTAATTTTTCCACTTTTGGGGGCGTAACCCTCTCACTTCCCTCTCCCCTCCGGTTCCTCCGCCTATCCCCTGCCTCTTTCCTCTTGTGGGTCCCTGTAGTACAGTATTCATCTTGCTTCTTTCTCTATTCTTCTTTCTTCTTCTTGCTGCTGTACTGTACTGTACTGTGCTGTGCTGTGCTGTGCTGTGCTGTGCTGTGCTGTGCTGTGCTGTGCTGTGCTGTGCTGTGCTGTGCTGTGCTGTGCTGTGCTGTGCTGTGCTGTGCTGTGCTGTGCTGTGCTGTGCTGTGCTGTGCTGTGCTGTGCTGTGCTGTGCTGTGCGGTGCTGTGCTGTGCTGTGCTGTGCTGTGCTGTGCTGTGCTGTGCTGTGCTGTGCTGTGCTGTGCTGTGCTGTGCTGTGCTGTGCTGTGCTGTGCTGTGCTTTGCTGTGCTGTATTCCACCCTTACCATTCTCCTTTACGTATGAGTACATCTTTGACCTTAGTCCAACGAACTCAATTATGGGTACTCCTCCAGCCTCATCCTTGAACTTACCAATAACCTTCTTATTATAGGCTGAATAGTAAGGGCTATCTTTTGGGTAATCTGAATTATCCCAGCAGTCTTTCTCCTCACCAATTCTTCTGAAGTCCTCATAAACATCCTTAGTCTTCAGTTCGTACATTAGACTGTCAGTATTCGTGAACAGTAGCTGGGACTTATTACCGTTCTCCTTCTTAATTGTGTTGTAGTGGAAATCATACATTAAAGTCTTGGATAAATCTAAGATGCTCATCCCTACATAGCACGGCTTATTCAGAGTAAGAACTTCCTTAATTTTCTTTACAACAATAAGATGCTCATTCATTATTCTATGTGACTGGAAGCTTGGTGATGCAGTCAGTTTTAGTAGTTGGTCTTTGGAAGACACTAGCTTTACATCTACTCTCTTCCTAAGATTCTCCATAGTCTTACCATATATGGAGTTGTTCATTAGTTTGAAGAAGTTTTTCTCAAAGGTATTACGGGCTTCTGACCTTTTATTCGTATTGAAGTCTATGTAGTCCTTAAGCCAGGGTGACTGCTTAAATGTAACAGCTTTATGAACCTTAGTGAGTTTCATTCCGAGGTCAGTGTAGAGTTTTAGATTACGTACATGTAGAACGTACTTCTTCTTGGGACCCAGTGAAGTTATCAACTTCCTTACGCCTCCAATAGTCAGTTGAAATTTTTCAGCAATTTTCTTCGCATAGTCTGACAACATAGACTCATTTATTTCCTTACTTTCTGGTGCAAGAGAATAACCGTTATGTGACTCGTGTAATTCTTCCGGGTATTCCAGATCAACCTCCAAGATCATTCCTCTTCCTTCATCTTCCAGGTAATCTTCTATTCTTATATTATCGAGGTCCTCAACCCACTCGAACTCTCCATTAGGTAGAGGTTGTGACATAGCCCAACCGTATAGATTGTTAGCATCTAGATACATTAAGAACTTGTCCTCTTCAGTTTCATCATAAGTTTCCATGTATTTATTATTAGCTTCTGAGTGTCTATGGGCAATATAACTTGTACCACCTCTCATACCCTTCTCGAAGAACTGAAACATGTCCATATCACTTACCAATTCTATTTCCTCACCTGACTTCTTCAGGAAAGCGTCCCAACTAAGACTAGGTGCTGACACGTAATGTGCTGGGTGTAACTCGTAATTCTTAAGACATGTTCTTCTGAAGTTTTCAAACACATCCGCAAGTAGTAGAACGTCAGTTTCCAAGTAGAGATCGTGGTAATCCTTCAGAGTCTTCATTTTGAAATGATCCCATACTTTCTGAGCTCTTTCGTAATCCTTATCACTTACCTCTGACTCACACATACTGGAGTAGAACTTATCCTTACTCGGAAGGCCTTCTGTATTAAGTTTGCTAATATTATCTAGGAACTCATAAGAAAACACACCCTTTTGTGTCACTAAGTTGAAGTCCTCACCTTTCCATCTTTCGCCTACTATCTTAAAGTCCTCAGGTGATAAGTTGTCAACAAGTGATTCCAGTGAAGAAGCCATAAACTGTATACTATCTATGAAGACCAGATTTTTACCCAGTGAGAATGATATATATTTTTCCATATTATTAGGGATCACATTAACATTCATTCTGAACTTACCTATTTCCTGCATTATAAGATGGCTATCATAACCTCTAAGATTGTGGAACACTACTGGGATCTTCCATGTAATTCTGTACTTAAGATTACATATTTTGTGAGCAGCTCCACGGTACAGTCCTGTTACATGATCATGGTCTCTCACTCTGTCGTCACCCAGATCGTTACCACATATGGAGCATTTTCTAGTTGTCCAGAACTCAAGTTCCTATTCAGGTGTTATTACCATTTTCTTCTTGAATATTTTACTAACAAGCTCCCTACACTTGGTAGACTCCTTTATAACAGTTTTTAGGAAGACTAATGCAGCATAAACACCAACGTAACTCTTATACTCACCGGAGTACTGGTTATCATAATGGCAGACTGTTTTCAGCCCAAAACTGCAGGCCTTGTGTTTCTGGTAGCAGGATGTACTACTACTATCATCACTAGCATCTGACTTTTCTTTCTTCTCTTCTGGCACTAGTCTAGACTCAAAATCAGCGTATATAACAAAGGGCACCGGCATCGAGTTTCTTTGGTGTTTGAACTTTATTGTTGTCCCTTCCTCGGGAACTTTTGTAGCTTGAGTTCCGTTTAACTGTAAACATGTCTCCTTATGCTTTTTCAATGATTCTTCACTTACACAGCTATAAAGACAGTGTAAACAGAAGTGTTGCCTATGTGCATGCTTACTTACACTGAATAACATTCTATTCACATCTTTTATGAGCACATAATGATTATTACCATTGTTATCACCTAGTAGGAATAGTTCCATGTGATCCTCATAGCCAGCCTTAGTTATTCTTATTGGCTAGAATTCCTTATTACCCCTATACCCGAACATTGATATTCCGATACTATTCCTTCTTTATATTTTTGCAACATCACTTATTTTCACAGGGAACTCGATTCCTTCATAGTCCAGGTTCTCGCTGAATTCTATGTCTGCCTTGGTAATATAGGTTGCTCTTCTAGCCTTAGGATTTAGATATCTCACATGACTCCACATGAAACATTTATTATCACTGTTCCTCATATTAATAAGACCACACTTTGGATTATTGATGTTATTAGATAGTTTCATATATGAACTACCCTTAAGAGGCTTGTACATAGCAATGTTCACATAGTGGCTCTCAATATTAAGTATAATCCAGTTTGAACCTAGGCTTTGGAAGGTTTCAATTCTAGATAAGATTGTCAGTTGATTTTGTGCAGCTGTACTTTCAATATCCTCGAAGTTAGTTATAGTACCAGTCTTAGATTTGAAGTAGACTGAGTCCTTCTTAGTTTTCCCGTCGCCGACTTCCTTAGACATTCTCACCTTCAGTGTCTCTGTATACTTTAACCCTCCCATTACCCTTAGCTCATTCACAAGTGTTCCCCTTACAACCTGCCTGCTTGCTGTTAGCTGACTTAGTGGATCCATATGATTCGGAGTTATTGAGTAAGTCACAGCCGCACCATTGGCGGCGGTCTCAATTTTCCTATGGAATGGCTTATCAAGGTCTGTTCTAAATGGATCAATTTCATGACCTTCTGGGATTACTGTTAAGGGTCTCACCTCAGTCTTCTTCTTAGGTTTCACAATCTTACGAATCTTAGGAGGAGACACTGGTTTCTTAGTCCTAGGTGCTGGTATAGGTCTTTCCTTAGGAAGGGTTGTTCTAGGTGCTGATATAGGTCTAACCTTAGGGACACTGGTTCTAGGTGCCGGTATTAGTCTCACCTTAGGAAGCACTGTTCTTGGCTTAGGTGTTGGTCTCCATGGAGCTCCACCCTTAAGTACATCAGGAGCTTTCCTCATGGGTCTCTTATTAAGATCCACAGTGATTGTAAACTTACCTGGACCCATTGGAGTTACGACACTATCCGCAGGTACTGAGAGTTTTACCTTACTCTGACTTATGAAGCTTTCAGTCACAGTTTGCTTCTTTTGTGGTTTACCTCTCTTCTTAGGCACCTTCACTTCAGCATCGGTTTTTGCCTTTGGTGGTCTACCTCTAGGACGCTTTACCTTAGGATTTCTCTCATTCTCTATTCTTTTAATTTCTTCATTAACGAGGACATTGTCAGTACGCCAGGCTCCTCCCATAGTTGGTGGTAGACCTTCTACTCCCTTAGACAGTAAACTCTGGTATGCTTCCTCCACAAGAGCAGCTTTTGTCTTCTGCCTCTCAGAGTACTTCCACACAGGAGTCATTCCGCGCTTACCCTTGTAGTTCTTAGGTACACGTCTAAGTTTAGGTCTTAGCACATCAGTGTCAACTTCATCTGCGAATTGTTGTTCTCCATAGAAGTAATCCTTACCCTTATCCTTAGGAGTGACCTTGTAGTTTTTATCCTCCAAGATCTCCTTCACTTGCATATCCACATCTTTACCGCTATCAATGATACTGTTTAATTAATGCCATAAGTTGTTCTACGCTCATTTCGCTTATATTGAATCCCGCCATATTTATAACTGTTTCTCTATACTATATATGTGTAAAAAAAAATAAGGTATTTAATTAATAATTAATTTCGAATTTATTTTTTATTTAATTTATTGTTTAATTCTATTGATTTACTATATTAGTATTTCCTTAAGTGTTTTAATTTTTTATTTAATTTATTGTTTAATTCTATTGATTTGTTATATTAATATTTCCTTAAGTGTTTTTTATTTTTTATTTAATTTATTGTTTAATTCTATTGATTTATTATATTAGTATTTCTTTAAGTGTTTTTATTTTTTATTTAATTTAATGTTTAATTCTATTGATTTATTATATTAATATTTCTTTAAGTGTTTTTAATTTTCCACTTATTATAATATTTACACTTCTCAGGTTTCCATCCAAGCTCAACAAATACTTTACCATATAATCTATCCTCAAGAGTGTCAACTATCCTTTGAGTACTAATGTCCTCAGGTGGATTCCGTAATATAATGTTATTCATACTAGCTAGTCTTAGCAGGTAGAACTTGTATCTAGCTAAGTTGCGCCCCCTCTGCAGTCTAAGTTTTTGTATGCATCTTACAATGCTTCTAAACTGCTCCCTTATGGTATCCCTATCCCTTGGAGCAACATGTTCCATTAGATGTCTCTCAAACCAACGGACCCTTTTATGACAAGACTTCTTTTTCAGATAGTCGTCCTTATTATAGCTGTAACTAACATAATACGAGAAGTTATTCAAATTACTTGCACCACATACTGTACATGTGTCTGCCCCATCTACTACAACAAATGACTTACTTCCACATTCACTACATATTGGATCATATGTGTGTCTCCTATTTATTCTGCTTACTGCGTAATTCCTTACGGTATCCTCTAGCTCTCTCACTGCGTATGTCCTTTTACCTACACGTACTGTACTATCTGCTCAGGTGTTGCCATCACTAACCAGTCCATCTCTATATAGTTATAGTTGTAAAAATGTTTACGGTATTTTTCTGCAGCATTAAGTATGCTAACCCACCTACCGCCCCACCTGTAAGTAAACCAAAGAGAGCCATATATTCTTCCATCTCAGGGCTAGGCTTATAGTGATTACTAAGCTTTGGCTCTACAGGCATAGCCTTACGTGTTAACTCATTGATTCTCCTAACTCTAATGCTTGGTTCGTTGACTTTATATCACGATTTGCTTCAGCTAGTTATTCCCTTAGTTGAGCTATTCTGTTTCTTCTATCAGTGACTTCTTCAAGGTACTTCTCTCTTTCAGCTGTTAGGTCCTCCATTGCAAGGTTATGTCTTTTAGCTTCCTCAGCGTATCCGTTCTTATCAATCATTTTAAATAAGAATCCTGCTCCCACAAATGCAAATGCGTTAAAGAGTCCTCCTGCTACTGCGCTTGCCATTGTATAGTTTTACCTAGGTTTTGAATGGATCATCTGGTAGATACTTCTTTTCTTTCAAGTAAGAGACCAGTAGAGATAAAAGACTAACTGAAACAGCTAACTTTGCCATTCCTTTCACATTCTCTGGTGTTCCTAAAAGTTCCTTCAGTAGTTTCTTTGATGCCATTGATATACCAACTGCTCCTGCTGTATGTAACACTGCGTTGTACACTTCCCTAGTCGTTCTTTACTCATTTCTGCTATAATATATGTTATGTTTAATGTATCATTCAAGTGAATCTAACCTAGACGCATCTACTTTCTCAGTTACTTCTACAGTCTTAGGTACATACCTAACTTCTGATTCCCTAGTTTCCCTCTGATGTGCCTTATATGCTAGCACAAGAGATACCAATGCAATTCCCACTCCTATATAGGTAATCATATTATCATTGCTAGATGAGGCCTTAGGTTCAGCCGTCTCCTTCTTTTTCCTCTCTCTTGCAGTTTTACTTAGAACTGCTAGTCTCTTTCCAGCTTCTACTCTCTTAGGTCCTTCTTCTTTTCACTTGTGATAGTAACCTCTTCTGTTTTACGTTCGTCAGCCATTCTATATAGATGCCTATGTTTAACTACATAGATACCTACATAGATACCTACATAGATGTCTACATAGATGTCTACATTGATACATACATAGATGGGATTGCTTAAAAAATGCCCAACTATAATAGCTGAGCATTTTCTAAGTTTAATTTTTACCACTAACATAAACACTACTAGTACTTACCTGATTTGAACTTTGGTTTGTGCAGCTTTGCGTCGCTAACAACTGTTTTAACCCTTACTATTTTCACTTTCTCTTTTAGTGAGAAGTACTCATATATTCTGATACATATTTTTACCAGGTCATCCCAAATCATAGTCATGTACCCTAATTGTCTAAGTCTTTTAAGCCATTCTATTTGCTTCCAGTCTGCACATCCTGTACCCTTAGGTGATTTGAACTCTATTGCAAACCCTTTATACTCACCCTTAGGATTAGCTATAATTACGACAGGTTGTCCTCCCTTATAACCTTTCTTCCAGGCGTCACATCTTTTAAAGGAAGTATCTTGGTACTCACCAAGTCCAGGTATGATTACGGCCTCAGGGTGGTTGTTCCTAATGCACTTTACAACTGTATAATGAAGGTCCGTTTCACATAGCAAAATCATTTGGTTATGTTTAAGTGACCTTTTATCTGGTAGTGTGTATGAGCTATCTTTGCGGATAGATGGAAGTACTTCACTGAATACCTAGTCCTGAAAGGCTTCAGCTATTGGAAGTCTTGAACTACAAACTAATTGATATACACCGGGTTCATACAATAAAATCGTGCGTGGATGGTTTCCCTCAAAGGGCCGCGTTTCACGACCCTTGCATATTTCCTCCACTGTGATCTTATTTTTATTCCACACGTGTCTTTTAACAGCATCCCTTGTATTTGAGTATCCTAGTGATTCTGCCACATCCTTTGCATAGAACAGTATACCCTCACCCCACCTCACTGCTCTTATTTTAACGTTTAGTTTCCTGTTATCAAAAATTTTCTCCATCTTCTCTATACTATATGTGTAAATTTTTTTTACTGCATATCATTAAGATTTTTGCATATATTCACAACTGTTTTTATAGTATCATTCTTGAAACTTTCAAAGTCATACTTTAGTGAATCCAAAGTTGCCTGAATTTTATCCAGCTGTTCACTATTCCTATCAGTTTTCTCAATCAGTTCATCAATTATGTCTTCGAACTCTGTTCCTTCCCAGGGTGTTCCCCAGTCGTAGGGCTCTCCGAGTTGTGACATTCTGTATGTAATAAGATACGTTTAGCATTATCTGAGACCTCTGGTTCTTCCTCCTTTTTGTTCCACATATGAGCTACTACATGCTTAGCAGTTGTGCAGCCTCCTGATATGAGACCTATGAATGGAATACTTGGGGATATACTTCTAGTTAGCTGGGAAACATCCTCCTTGAGAAGCTTATCACTTAGGAGTTCCTCAGACAGTGCCTCTGATGATTCAACTACATTCATACCACCTAGTACAGACGCAAACTTTGATATTACTAGTGTTGCCAAAAAGTCACCAGCATATTTCATCCTTTGGTTTTCGTGCTCTTCGTATAATCTATCTATTACATCTTTATTAGACTTTCTTGCGAAGTTTGCGAATTTATCAATAATGCCATCTTTAGATAGCTCAATGAGTTTCTCCCTTTTCTTCTCAGTTTGCGACTTCTCTGCGGATTTTCTTGCGGTAGGTTTAGACTTTCTTTGCGGTAACTTTGCGGCCTCTTCCACTTCACTCAGTATGCTGTCAATTTCTATGTCAGACTCAGTTCCCATTTTTCCAATACCCATCTATATATTATGCAGTGTTTAATCTAACTGTGTAAGTGTAAGGGTGCTTTATAGCCTCCTCCGCAGGCATCTCACCCGACGAATCGGGTGGTGGGAAAAAGTTTGGTGAGATGCCTGCCATAAATCGACACAAACATTTGCACTGCGCATACCGGCTCGCGCATGCAAATTTCGACAAACTCAAACTTAGGGGGAGTAGGAAGGGCTTACGGCAAGGAGTGAAGAAAATTTTGTTTTCAACACGATGGCTTACAAGACGAGTAAAACTGTAAAATTAACGAATAATCCTGCTCTTCAACATTGCAAATACAAAGGGAACTTTGACTAAGGAGCTGAGAACGTTATCGAAAGCCGACACAGCGATTTACTTGGATTGTTTAGAGATAACGAGTGACTTTGCAGAGCAGTGAATTCACAATGTCGTCGATTCATGTCAAGACAAGGTTTCAATTGAAAGTTTATCGTTGATATATGCAAATTTCTATTCAAATTGTTGACGACATTTTATATCATAATAAGCTGAAAGTACAGTGATTTAGTCGAAATTGTAACACGAAAAGGAAGGATCGAAAATTGTCAATATATAAATGATCATAAATGTAAATTCAACTGTTGACATCTGTGACTGTGCCTGCGTATTAAATATATAAACACTTCTTGCCTTGTTTTAATACGCTTGTATGGAAGGAAATCATTAATAAAAGTCTTAGACAAATAGCTTTCTTATTGTGGAATACACTGTGCAATTTATCCCTTGGACAAAGACAAAGTTTTCAAACTTGAGTGTCTCAGATGTGGCGAAAATTAGCAAAAGCTTCCTTAAATCAGTGGCCGTGTTTTATATATGGGTGTGAGTATAAATGTAGACATAAGGGAAAGGACAACTGGAATTTAATAAGAATATAATAGTTTTCCATGTGGTGCAACAGGGTATAAAGACCTGTCTTAATAACATTTGCCTTGGATTTGTTAATTAACCAATGGAGGCATTACATACATTCCATTTTGCTTGCCAAAGTTCACAGACAAAATATTTACATGGGTAAAATCCATTTTGCAAGGCAAATTTCCCTATAACCATACAAACAGTCACTGACGAAACTTCCCAGTGTTAGGCATGTTGTCAGGGATGGATCCAGCATGATCTGGTAGGGGGGTGCTCTGCCAGCTCTGGTGTCGAGTGACTCAAGTTGACACACGTCGTCACGTCATGTGTGCAGCCCGCCATTAATATACAGCAACAGCAGTATTTTGACAATTTGGCAAAACAACCTCAATGTGGTACAAGTGTACTGTGTACAATATCTCATTTTGTCTGTAATATTTTTTGCTTTATCATGAAAAATAGCACACACATACCCCCTGGCCAGGGCTAGGGAGGGGGTGTGCACCCTCCCCCCCCAGTAAATCCATCCCTGCATGTTTTGCTACTAATTGTTACATTAACCACCCAAAAGTCTTTTAATGGTGGGTACATATTAATTGTAAGCTGTGAAGCTTTAGATTAGCCCATTGTTTGCACTCTCCCCTGGAATAGTAAAATTGTCTGATGTTAGACAGAGTAAAAGCAGGGGCGTGCCGGCAAGCGATGAGACAACAAGAACTTGTTGTGGGCGCCTGGCATTGTAGGCTCTTACAGGGTTCATGCCAATCTAGATTTATTATATTTAAAACAAATATATGTCAAGAGCAATTTTATTTAAACATGAACAAGGGAGATACATATAATTAGAGAATATGCAGATACATCATAAATTTCTTTATTTATCAAATCATGGATGTCATGTGGCCAGTACGTGTAACACAACTAGGCATATACTATATTAGAAACAGGTTGTTACATGTGTTACAATGCAACTTAATGGGTTTAGCATATTCACATGATATTAATTAAGGGGGTGAGTTCCAATTAACTATTCAACCAAGTGAAGCCTGGTTCATATATACCTGCTGTTTGTTGATGGGCTATTGTCGTTAAAAGTTCAACTAAATAATTCACAAAAGAATGTATGCATCAACAGCTGTAAACAATGATAATGCAGGCATATGTAAACCAGGCTTAAGATGCCAACAAAATCTTGATTTTTGTAGTAATCAAATTTCTGTAGTTGATATTTCCAAGTTGTTATCTCTCCTCACTTATTGAAATGGTTGCTTCAACAGAAATATATTTTCCTTTTATATATCAATTCACTTAACATGTTGCCAAATGTCTGATGATTTGACTAAAATTAGTAAAATATAATCAAAATGTCAACCCCTTCATATAAAATATAAAAATGCCAAAATAATATTCCAGAAAACAATACAATTTAATATAATTCCTTTATTAAACAAATTATACCTTTCGTATCGTTCCATTCTTCGTTTTGCGTTCGAAATTATGCCAGATAATTTCCTCAAATTGTAGTTCCTCGGCTGAACAATTGATACCAAGATATCTATGATTGATACATTGTAAACATTTGGCTGCTTCGAGCGAGCGATTAAATTAAATTTGCACGTCGTTTTTAGACCGCGAGAGACATTGCGATATATAATCCTTTCAATTGACCAACTAATTTTCGTATAACTTGAATATTTCGATGCATTTTAAAACATTTTTAAAGTTAATACTCGCAAGCTTCGGTCCTCGCCTGAAGATTTCAAACTGAATATATAATTAGGGTCAAAAGCCTACTTAGGGGGTGGGGTACATTGACACGGCCACAAGGTACATTGACACGTCCATTTTGTTCGATTTATGGCAGGCCTCTCTCCCAGAAATTTTTTTTTTCAAAACCCATTCGCAGGCTAGAACCCATAGAGAGGCCTGCGGAGGAGGCTAGGTGCTTTAGTAGTATATCTAGTGCGGTGAACTTCTCATCTCTCAATATTTTCGTTATTTCTGTAATTGTCTCTTGAGGAACACCATGAAGATAGTCATCTGTTATCACCTTCATATCTTTGCGGCTAGGGTTTTAGAATGTAACTAGTCGGGAAATGTTTTCCCTAAAGGGCTTTGCTACTGATGATAATTGTTGGGTAAGTACTACTACAGATAAGTTGTAATGTCTAGCGGAGAATGCTAGATTCACCAATTCTGATACTCTTTTCTTTACTGCTTGACTTGCTGCACAGTCGTCCACTATAATCAGAGTTTGTGTACCGCGAAATAGTCGTGATGTTGCTCTTAACACTATATCTATCATTTCTTGTGAACATGGAATTAGAACTACACCTTTGTCACTAATATGACACCAATTTATGTAAGTTGTATTCCACTCTATTGTTGGACATACAATGATAATGTAATCGAAAACTTTATTATACTCTCTTTCTATCATATCAAGTAAAAACTTTGTTTTACCACTTCCAGTCATTCCGACTATAAGCATATTAAACGGTGGCTCCATATGCTTTACCGTTAGTATTGAATACTTGATAAGTCTCTATTGGCAAAGTTAAGGAAAGCATCTGATACAACAAAAATGTTGCACTGAACGTCAGCTGTTGTGGCTCTTTTTTTGATTTCCAGGAGTACGCCAGACTGTGTATTAACAATCTTCTTGCCTCCACCAGTAGTGTCATCTTGTGTTGACCTAAGATCAATCACTAGAGCGAAACCATTACTGAAGAACTTACTGATGGACATAAACTCGTCAGCCATTGATTTCTTACACATAGGACAAAAGTATCGTTTTGCCTCTTCGAAGAACCTGTTTTTGGGAAGTCCTTGGGAGAAGACTACATTAGGCACACCTTCAATGGTCAGGTTCACTTTATCAATATTTGGGTAAATATACTCTTCACTATCAGTTCTCACTCTATTGGTAAATAAAAGGACAATTGATGACATGCTCTTCCTGGGAATATTAATGTTCTCATTTACAATGGTAAGATCCTTGTCCCAGTTACTCGTACGCATTAGTATGACGTGTTTGTAAGACAGTGAGCAGCCCGTTGAATACATCCTTGAGACCTCACTTGCAAGGGTGTCATTCTCAATGGTCTCGTATTCTAACTCAAGATTATCAAGCTTGTAATTACCCTTATCTTCACCTCCTTGTGCAGTCATAATTTCATCTGATGGTGGTAGTGTGAGGATGTACATAGGATTGTTATTCATAGAGAACGGTACATAGAGCCCATGACCGGCAATTATCTTGTCAACTGGTTTTCTCAGCTTAGAGCCGTATACACTATGGAGAAGTGCATCTGCTACTTTACCAACATCACCTACTTTTACTCCAGAGTCATCACCTGATATTAACTTCCTGAGATTCTCACTTGCAAGGCCCTGTTCAGTCATCTTTTTTCTATCACCTAGTGTTAGCCATAGGTCTTTGTATATCTCGTACAAACTCTTTCCTGAACAGTCATAGGCTGTCTCACCGGCTACTTTAATTTGGAGACGTTTTGCTAGCAACTTAGCTAGGTTGTTATTAAAGCGGCTCTTTACGCTGGAATTTTTGAAGTCAAATAGAAGGGCTAGCGATCCAGGGACTAAGCAAGAGGATAGCTTGAGTTTTGGAATATTAATGTACAGCTCTTCACCGGGACTGATTGTTGTTGGATTAAATGTGACAACACTTCTGGTTCTAGGTCCTTTGATGGCAGTCATGCGGCTCCTTCTGAAGCCAGGTTGGAGTTCCTTTTCTGTGGTATTCATGTTTGTATACAATATGTAATGTTTAGTTGTATTTGTATAGTAAAACTACTGCTGCACATACAATGATTATCCATATATTATCCGCTGCTAACTCTACTCCATCGGCTATCTTCTGGAATATAGGTGGTAGTTCAATTTGGTGCAGGGGCGTAGGAAGCACCTGGAGTTTGGGGGGGGGGGCACCGGCTTGTAGGGGCACGGGGGGGGGAGAAATTTCTCCTGAGGAAAATTTTCCGTCGTATCATACCGAAATTTATGTTTGTGACCTAATTTTTAAAAAAAAATTTGTAAATTTCCACACAAAAACGGCACCTATTGTTTTAATTTAGTATTTACAGCGACATTTGCTTCTACAAAAGGGGCACTTTTCCTCACAAAAAAGGGCACTTTTTATCACAAAAAAGGGCACTTTTAATCCTTTAAAAAAATTTGGGGGGGCACGTGCCCCCCGTGCCCCCCCGCTTCCTACGCCCCTGATTTGGTGGTTTACCAACTCACTGATCCGCTTATCGAGCTTTCCTGTTGTGTCACCTACTTTCCACAATATGTTTCTAGTTGATGCTACCAGTCCTATGATTACAGCTGCTGAGGAAATTAGAACAGCTGATAAGATGCCTGCATTCTCCCTTGCCCATATCTTGAATAATTCTAGTTTCCTAGTGTCGTCCCATTTGATGAGCTTTCTCTTTTCACCTTGTCTCTCAAGTTAAGCAGTCGGTTTAGATTTGACTCTCTTTGGTAATCACTTGATAGCATTCTGACGTATCTCAGTTCTTCTGACTTTTCTTTGAAACTATCAAATTCGATAGTATTATTTCATTTAACAGTCTGTCTCCCCTATCCATTAGATCATCGTATGACAGTTTAGATAGGTCAGGGAATTTCTCAGCCAATTGCTCTCTCGTAAGGTCCTCGCTCTCGTATGTTTCCAACATTTTTCTCCTCCTCAGTTCCTGTACGTAATTAATTTCCTCGTTAATATCCTGGGTCTCCTCAGTAGTTTCACTTTCTCTGAGATCCTTGTTAAGGTACGGTAATTCGCTATCTAAAGTTTCTGTATCCATTTCTTCATAGTCCGGATACTTTTCCTTCAACTCCTCCATTTTTTGGTCATTGTATTCCTCTTGATGTTCCTCCATAGCTACTTTACTTTGTGCAATAGTTGTACACCATTAAGGCTGCAGCTATAGCTAGTACCCATAAGTGTGACGCTAACCAGGCAATTCCTTTGGCTCCCCATGATAGCGCCGTTGCAACTGCGTTCAGGATTGGAACTAGAATTGGTCCTGCTTTCTTCGCTAAATTTGCTAATGCTTTTGCTACTTTACCAGTGACCTTTGCTGTATTCACAATGGCTCCCCTAGCATGGATTAATAAGGCTGTAATTAAACTAGCTGTTGACACTGCTATCCCTGCAAGTCCCACCTTTTCCTTTCCTACCCAGTCTATAAATCTGCGTAATCTGGAAATGTCCTTCAGTTGTGCCTCCTTTGCTTCCTCTACTGTTCTCTGCTCTAGTGTCCTATTCCTAGCTTCCTTCAAACTGTCAATTCTTTCTATAAGAGCATTATACTCAGTTGTACCTTCCGCAGGTGTGGCGCGTTCCACGGTTTCACCAATAGCTTCATTAAAGTAGTCAGCCTGGATTTGCAGCGCTCCTTTTGGACCTGTTCTGCCTTCTATGCTTGATCCCTCAGGTGGGTTAAGAACACCTCTCAGTTCATTGTTTTCCTTCATTGTGAGCCCTGGAAGGTCTCCTAGTTTTGCACCTATGTCTATTAACTCAATGTTCTCACGGTCAGCGAATTCCTCATCACTGGTATCAAATTGGGGCTCTTCTTTAGTATCCTCGTAAATTGATTCATCACTTCCAATTATATTGTCGGGATCCGTAGGTACCTCTTTTGTTTTCTTCATGAGGTCCTTGTATTCTCTCAATGCAATGCAGTTCTTGGAGTATACAGGTTTGCTGTTCTTACCACGTTTCATTATTTGTGTCCCACTTTTGTTAATACCTTGTTCACTTCTAAATACCAACACCTCTGTGCCATCATTAAGTGTTCTGACAGATGATCGCTTTATGAGTTCCCTGACATATTTATTCTTAGGGTCTAGTATTAGTCCCTCCTTATTCTTGATAACTCTTGTGACAGCCTGAACACGTTCTACTTGGTTTCCAAATTCTCTTTTCTTACTTGCTGTGAGCTGGTCTTCTGAGAGCTTTTTAAGTTTACTCAGACGGATCTCTATATCATCCCATTTAGTGTCAAATGTATCATCAAATGCATCTAGCACATCTGGAAGTAAATTGTTTGGGTCTTCCACAACTGTGACCTCTGGAGCAGTCGTACTACCTGATGGTCCTAAAATGTTCACTGTACCATCATTTCCTTCAGTGAAAGTTGTTTCTTCAATTACACGTTTCTCCATGAGATTCCTTACATAGTTTAGTTCACTTTTAAGATCAGTTATTACTAAACGATCATCGCCATACATTGCTTCTCCCTTCACCTTTCTTTCTAGGTTACTAAGGGATGTATTCAGATCATCGTAATTGTAATCGTCATATTGAGGATAAGTTTTTTCCATCTCCTCCAACTCATATTCGTCATAGTCCTCTGCACCCTCCATAATACTGTAACTTATGTTAGGGACTTTATGTCTCCAGCTGGTATCCAACTGTTAAATTTGTCATCGTAACCTAACCACTTAACTAGGGCCATCTTTTTACCCTTCACTGTTCTTTTTCTTAGTACTTTTTCTATTCTGAAATCAGGTTCTCTTCCTTCAGCGCTATACAGTTCTTGTTCATAAGATCTACCAATTATTGGTTCACCAGCACTGTCTTCTATTGTGTACGTATTTGGATGACCGTGATACACTTCCGTCACAGTGAACAACTCCTCTGTGAAATTTGCTTCGTACCCTTTTGTGAACACTGATTTGTACTTTGAGATCCGAACACTTTCTCCCACAGTAAACTTTGGTTCTGACGGCTTGCCTAGATCGTGACTAAAAAGTGTCTGCCATACTTCAGTCCAGTTGGAGTCATTTACGCTATCCGGTGTTGTTTTAATTGATCTGTTCACTGAACTGTTGTAATTATCAGTTAAGTCTTGAAGGACGTCCAACCATTTATATGTACTGGCACTGTGAATCTTTCCACAACTGTGGCCTTTTTGTCTTGGTAAGTAGAGAAAAATTCAATGTTATGTTTATTGAGCAATGACTTTACATCTTTGTTGTAGAACTCTGCGCCTTGATCAAACTGGGCGAATTTTGGGTATTTCCCAAAGTGATTATTAAATTGCTCTAAACAGTTACTGACAGCGTCCTTCATTGCCTTAGCGTTTTTCCTATACACTGGTACTGTGAACGCATACCTACTTAGTATTTCAATACATGTAAGAATCCAGCGGTATCCCTTGTTCTTGTCGTCATACTTTGTCTTGTCGACTAAATCCATTTGTAACTGTTCACCGAAAGTTTGGACGTACGTCTGTCTGAACTTGTGTCTCCTGAACACTTGTCTATACCTAGTGTATGTGTCCTGCTCGTTTATCCATTTCTTAACCTGGTTTGTGGTTACTTCAAGTCCTTCCCATATTGCTCTAAGATATAAGTTTCTAAGTTTCTCTGGTGTTTGGAATCCAGTTTTAGGATTGTAGTAAATATCTCGTAGTCCCTGTTCTTTCATAATATCGTCGTCCATCTTATATTAACCAATGTAAGCTCACTACTCAAGGTACATCTAGATAAGCACTTCACCTATATCAATAGGTTTCCCGTCTTGATCTCTCACATGGAAAACCAGTTCTGAACATGAACCCTTAACTATTGCAAATCTGCTTTCAATGTCAATGTAACTAACCACAGAGCCTAGTAATGGTCTGTCTGTCGGAATTGTAATACTTGTTATCAGATCACTTGGCTTACCCCAGTGGTTAGTGTTGTAGCTCTTACCTGCAAGGTTGCAATGAATGTTTACGAATCGTAGTCCGTTGTTAATGTCAACTTTACTATCACCTGATAAACTTCTCCCTTTTAATAGAATCATTGAGGTAGAATACCTGTTGAATCCTAACATGTTAAGTAGGTGTTTTTCTACTGTGATGTCATATTTTGTTGTCTCTATTTGACACTTAGCTGCTTCCCCAAAGTATGTTAGCATTACACCGTGTCTTTCAAGCACAGCTTTAATATTAGCAAATGTGTGGTATCCTTTTTCAATGTTTACATCTGATTCTCCGCCATCTGTCTTTACAATAATTAACGTTATTTGTTTCACTATATTGAAATACTCCCAGAAGACAGATACTTTCTTCACAAAGACTGAACCATAGTTGCTTGTTAGAACTGAATTATACAGTGGTACTACAGTGTGCGGACCCTTAGTAAGAATTGTAAACTTCATCTTAATAACATACGTTATTCTATTACAAAATGATACCGGGTGGAAGACAAGTTGGTAAGTCGCCGTATAGATCGTACCAAGACTATGAAAAAAAGTACGGAAAGGATGTCAGTGAAGATTATGTTGATCCTATTACTGGTAAAAAGGCTGATACGCTGAGAGGGCTAAGTTTAAAGTAAAGTATCCTTTTGCAAATATGAGAAGATTTAAATTTGAAGCTAAGGCTACCAGTAGTGGTGACATAAGAGTTGTTACGTGGTTTGTAGATTTTGATGGAATTACATCCTATGATATAAAATATGACGGCTTTAAGGAAGACAAGGAGTACACCTCATACCTTACAGCAATAAAGCCTAAGTTGGTGGCGCCACCTCCCCTGAAACCTAAGCCCGACGTTCCCTTGAAACCAAAAGGGTGGCCGCTTCTCTGGAATAGTAATGGGACAGTTCAGGAACTTAAACCACTGGTCTTTCCAAAGAATCCTATTTACGATGAAAGAAAGTTGGGACCTAGTCGAGTTTTAATTCATGATGATGGTTATCGTATTAACACGTATCGACCTCATGTGAATCTTCCCTATAACTTTAACAACTTTAAGGTCTATGTGAATGAAAACAATTATTTCATGTCTAACTTCCCCAATGCTGGTGTAGGTTGGGATGAAGGTCATAATTTAACTAATAAGGATGTAAGAAAGGTTTCCTTCAATACGATACCATACACTAGAATGTTGTCGGGTGCCTATATAGCTAGCTATCTTAGTGGGGTATCATTGGAACACGTTCGCGAGAGTAATTATATTCCTAAAATAATAACATCCATTATGAGATATCATCTGTACTACACCACTAGAAAGTTAACGGTGAGTAAGGATGCTATTGATAAACTTGGAGTTAACCTCAATATTGTAAGAAAACATATCCCGATTATCGAGGCCTACATTATTGATGGAAGTGGTGCTACAACTAGTGCGGGACCTTTGTCTGGTAGCGATTACCTCTCATTCATAGCTGAAAAAAGCAATGGCTTTACTAAGTTGGGTGTTGAGCTTATCCAGGAGAGTATTGAGTCCTATGTGTATGCTATGTTAGGATCTCAAGCTAATACTAGGTGGTCGATAGAAGGAAACGTTCTTAAAGCCATCCAAACGCAACGTGACTTTAGAACTATTGTGAATTC